TATGCTACAAGCTTTGTTTCCCAGTTCGCCATGTGAAGATTTCGTCTTAGAAAACCAAGGCTTTGATTTGCTTTTGCACTTATATGATTGATGTGGGCTTCCCAAGATATGTTTGATGTGAAATAAACCCCAAGATATTTATATGTATGCACATGTTCAAGAACTCCATCGAAGAGAGTGTAGTTAAAGTCAGCTGGACTTCGCTTAGTACTAAAATTTAGAAATTTTGTTTTTGAAATATTTATGTTCATTTGCCACTTTAGACACCATGTTTCAATTTTAATTAAGTCGTTCTGAAGTTCAATACAATCGTGAACGCTAGATATTTTTCTATAAATCACACAATCATCGGCATACAAACGGATGGTAGACTGGATAGTTTTGGACAAGTCGTTTATGTATAAAAGGAAAAGTAATGGGCCCAGTCAACCAGTGATGAACTGGGTTTTCTGCACACCGCTCCAAGCGTTATCCACTATCCATAAAAATTTATTTTACACCATGTGCTTTCAGAGTTCTCGATCGGGCTCATACCATGGCAGATAAGATTATCCTTGATGGCTATGGCAGCTTCACCCCCTTGCGAGCTTCTATCTTTTCGTATTAACCTGTTGTTTGGAGGCACCACCTCTGCATCTTGGATTTTGCTTTGTAACCATGTCTCGGTGATCATTATAAAACACCACTGCTTCTATAGTTAGTCTGTTTTATTCATAACACTCCTCGCATTAAGGGATAGAAGCCTCAGCTCTCTTGGTTGCATTAGTGAACTATGTCATGCTAGTAAACGTGACTGTTTTTGGCCCGCCGGCTTGCCCGACGTTCCGCCCCGGCGGTGCACAACTGGCCGGTCCAATAGCTGGTGATCCTACTGTCAAATTGCAATTCGACACCACTGTCGAATTGCAGATGGTACTCCACTCTTAGGCTGAATTGATCATGTGAATATCACAACCCATGTTTGAGTCTATTTTAGTTCAGATTAGCTTGGTTTCAGTCTAACAGAATTGTTTATAGAGAACTTTTTAACTTAAAACTCACTTAGCAACTGGAAAAAAAAAAGGGCTGCTGTGCTTCTGCGATGTTTTGTTGCAGACTGCGTCGAAATACGATATGAAGGCATGGCCTTTATAAAAGGTATTGCCTTCCTCAAGCACCGTGGCTCTCACGCTCTCACTATGACTTTGTGAAGGCTAGTTCTGATACGACGGGAGGCCATACCTGAACAAGCCCACCCTGCTTCTCTGTCCCAAGCCAAACTCCTCGGCACGTCGAGTGCAATCATACTCAGTATGTTGCCGCTTCTCCTCTTCAGTGTGCTCCTTCCTCTTGGGAGGAGGTATTGCGAAGGCTGTGGCACATCCAGCGAGTGCCTCGTCCCGTGACTTGCACATGGATGCGATGAGGAGTGTACCACTCTCTCCCACGAGCCGCCCATGTGCACGATAGGGAGAGGACGACAGTGTGCATACCTCACCCTGCCGTGCATGCGCATGCATTTCGATGTGAGAAACAAAATTTTTCAAGGGGTTGACTGGAAAAGAAAAGGAGAAAGCTGCTTAAGAAGCTGTGGCTTAGACAGGGTGTCACATTTCCAGGTTCTTAAACCTTCTAGATGTAGTTGGCTCTTATAGGTACCTGCCACATCAATGTACTAAAAATAGTTTAGTGTTTCTCTATAGTAGGATTCCGTGTTTTCGGAGTTTATTTCTCGTGGAATTTGGAGGATGTTATTAATATTTTCTTTTTTGCTGAGAATTCGGGGTTTATCGGAGTTTATTTTTGTTAGATTCCCAATTCTTTGAAATTCTGAGCTTATTTTACTGTGTTTTTATTTTTAAAAATTCAAAAACAAAATGAATAAAATTTGGGTATCATGACCCATTGCTCTGTCGGAACGTGTTAAAATTCAAACCCTTTTGTCAGTAGTTCTAAACTTCAAAGGAAACTGAAGAGGCATCTCCTCATAACCACTCACCCGGTGCTCTTTTGCAGTTTATTTGTAAAACACCATCTTTTTTCGCTTTTATTTTGTCGTCGTGACCTCGAAATTTTGAGCTTTTTTTGGATAAATTCAAATTGACGAAACATTACCAAGTGCTTTTCTGATTTTTTGGGATTTATTCTGAGACACGGAACCCTACCTATTCATAGGGTACTTCGTTTTCAGGTTTTATTTTCATTTTTACGTCCGTGACATTGTTTCCTAAACGGGGGGATCTTTTTTTATTTTTTTTTTTTTAATTTTGACATTAGTCTATCAAAACATACTTTTTTAAAATTTTCTTCAAATTGTTTCAGACTATGACCCTAAGCAGAAAAGCACACAAAAGAAAATCAAGGTTAAGCTGGATGGCCCCAACAGGAAAATGGGCAAAACCCATTGAAGACTTTGGGAGCTTGGACCCCCTAAACTAGGGGGCACAAAAGAGGAAGGGCAGCCCTAAAGGAGGACACATGGAGAACAATGGGGACATAACCATTGGAACAAGATAAAACCTGGCGGAGGTTAAAGTAGTCGTTGACAAAAATAAAACCCAGAAATGAAGAACCCTACCTATACATTACCGTAAAATACCGGGGGAGCGCCCACGCCACTTTCACCGAAAATTGGGTAAGTCTAGACATGGGCACTTGTCCGGTCAAATCGGGCACTTGACATAATTTGCAGAATTCCCAAGTTTGGGAAATGTGTATGGCGGGCACTGGGGGGAACCAAGTGGGTGCTTCCGCGGTATTTTACGGTAGGTTTATTTAAGGGGAGACACTACCCAGAAAAAACAATTTCGGCAAAAAGAGTTGATTTTAAAAAAAAATGTCATATTTACATCCACCAATACCTAGAGAGTATTCCCAGAAAGTTTCATTAGTTTACTCTGCATAGTTAATTTTTTATAAATTATTTTCGGTCCTCCAATGCTAAAGAAAAGGCAGGGGTTGGAACACTTTGAACACATTTTTCTCCGTTCCACTTTTTGGCATAAATTTCACTTTAGGAAAACTATTGTTTTGTTATTACGTAACTTAGATACATTTTTATGAGTTCTTCTAGAGTGAAATTTAAAGGGGAAGATAGCTATGAGCTTGTATTTTTTATTTTTGTCATTTTTCATGCTCAAGAATGAAAATATTGGACAAATAATGGAAATCTAAAAAACAGTATTTGAGTTTATGTGGCTTTTTTGTCATGAAAGATGGTATAATATAGAAATATAGCTCCACAGCTATCTGCTCTGGACTCTCCTAAAGCAATATAACACATGAAAACGACAAATTTATAAGTATTTTCAAAACGATAGTTTTCCTATGCAGACACGCCCACTTTCATGCTTAACATTTGCAATTTTTTTTGTACTTCAGCCAGGTTAACAAAATTTGGCAGAAATGTTCTCAACATGAACAGCAACAAGCCCTGTAAATGTCATTTAAATCAGACAAGTGGTTCAAAAATTCACTTTCTTGAGTAGTGTCCCCCCTCAAGCATTTTTTTTTTCTTTCTTGTTTTTAGATTGGAGGGCATATTTGTACACATTTACATTAATTAGGTTTAGATCGTCTTGGGCATGAACATAATGTTATATAACTTAATGACTTAACTAGGGTTCCACGAAGGGGACACAATATGACTTAACTAGGGTTCCACGTTGTCGGTTTCTATTTTTTCAAAATTCGGCATACTTTTTTCGGTGTTTATTTTAAAATTCAATTTTCATTGTTTTTTTTCGGCGTATATTTATGCCCACAAAAGTTCATCGGCTTTTTTCAGTGAATATGAAATAAACTCCAACGGACACCGAATGGGATGATCCTTGTAGCTCTGATATTTGTGGTCACTCAAAGAATAACGGCACAGATACATTGAAAAAGAAATGGACACTTTATTTGGCAAATGTGTGTAACTGTAGAAGAAACAAGAAAAAAAACACAGAAGTACAAACAAGTCAGATATGAAGCCTATGCCCAAAAAGCATGAAACTTCACGTTCTGTACATGAGGATTACGCAGGCACATAGCCAGAGGGGAGGCCCATGGGGCCCGGGCCCCCCCCAAAATCTTCCATTTTGCTGGGACCTCCTCTCCCCCCTCCCCCTCATACAGCATTTTGTCATGGGCAGTGTGGCACCCCCTGAAACAAAATCCTGGCTATGTGCCTGGGATTACGTGATCTTATTATATTATAGTATGCACACACATGTACTTTCCCAAATTCTCCTCATTGATCTGCACTCTTTCTTTCCTGTTAATATGGCCCTGAGCTTGAGATTGCCCTCTCAACGCTAACACTGCACATTGACAGGCTGAGGAGATGAAGCGCTGCCTAAGCCAAAATCTGACAATCAACCGATGGTGACTGCCAAAAGAGGCACGGTGCGACATTTTGAAGCACGACACAAGATGCAGAGCTTGAATCATGTCAGTCTTCCTTAGGAGTTTCAAAACACGCTCGTACATGGCCAAGTCATGAGGCGTTTCGAACTTCACGTTCCGATCGATGATGCGCTCATTAAACCAAAACGTCGTGATGGCATCCGTGTATCCCATACATTTGGACACGTTTCGATCGATACTGTCGTTCCGCTTTTTTCGCCACGGCTCTGCGGTACGACTGGAAGGTCAAAGTGATCTTTTCCGGTTAAGACCGAATTTTAGAAAATGGATTTGACGTACTTTTATCGGTTTAAATAAAAAATGGCGAACCTAAAAACTGACCTTTTTCGGTTAAAACCGAATTTTCGAAAATGGATTCGGCATACTTTTATCGGTTTTTATCGGTATAAACCGAAAACTCCGAACCCTAGACATAACATTGCTTGTAGATTGAAGTCTGGAGGACATACGGAGTTTATCCTTGTCAAAATAAAATTTTAGGTGATCTTCTTGTATGAAGCACTTTTGCTGGTCCATTGGCAATATTTTTTTTCTATCCTAATGCAATATGTAATGTTTTTTGTTTTTTTTCTTTTGTTGTCTTTGTTGACTGTTTTTGTGATCTGTTGCAGTTTGACAGGCGTCGAGCAGGGCTGGACTCCGATGAAGAGTACTGAAGAGGGACGTGAAATGAATGAACAGAGGGCAGCTGTCCATTGCTGCCTTGTCGGATACCCAAGGAGAATCAGTTTTGTAGGTTTGCTCCCAATTTGGGGCCTTGTCTTTTTTACTGCCTCAGGTTATGCCCCACTGCACTTTTCTTAAAAATAAAGTTTCTCCGACTGAATTACGTGTTGTTTGAATCCTTACTTACTCACACATGCACCATACTGGGTCAAGAAGCTGGGACAGCAGTGTTGACTGTCCATCCAGACCAGGATTTGTGCCAGACTCTTTGTGCAATAATTCCTAAAGCTCTATAGTTTGTGCAAACGTGTGGTTGAAAGGCAATAAAATTCTGAACAGGCTAAACTGCTTTCTTCCACGAATTTAACGTAAGTTTTATGCCAGAATCCGAGAATGTTTTCACGAAATAACGTAAGCTTCCAGCGTCCCTGACCGCTCGGATCGGGTAGGATTGTAGTTGGAGATCGCAGGCCAGTCGTTCGCATGAGTGACAGTACAAGGTTAACCGTTCTATTTATTTATTTCCTCGGCATTTCCTAGTTCTAGGACGGGACGTCCTAGAACTAGTAGCTCCGACTTGGCTAATCCCAAGATTAACGTCAGATGGCACGCGTGTTTTCTTGCGCTACTTGTGCTCGCCTGCGCCCTTGTGCTGTCCAAGCCGTGGCGTAATCAGTTTGTTTCGGTTTCTTGCGGCGTTCGCGGCTGTTGCTTAGGTAACGCAATGACGTCATTTCCTTCTCGGCTATCGCCTATCAGAAAGCAAGGGCACTTCCTGTTGTATAATGGCGTCCAGCGAGTCGGAGTAGCGTCGATGTTAAGAAAAAAGAAAAATGTTTATTCGCAGGAAGCAGGGAAAGGGTGGACGCGGATAATTCAGCCACCTTCCAGCGCGAGCTCGATCTGCAATGCCAACTTAGAGCTCTTTCGTTTCGTGCACTAGCGTGCAGTCTTGCCGCAAATCGCTGCAACCGCTGCAACGATCGGGTTTGGGCAGCCGTGTTGGCCAGTTCGTCTCGTTGGCAGCGAGGGATTATCCACCGTTAGCAGGCGAGTCTGCTGTGAACCCGGCACGTGAGCACTCCCTGAAATCGGCAGGACATCAGGCACTATGTGTGGCTCCGCTCCCGACTGCTGCGCAGTCCATCTGTTTGCTTAACGGAAGGAAGCCGTACGGCCACGATGGAAGAGCTGCCGAACAACAGTCGGAGCAATTCCGAGGCTGCCTCCCGGAGACTGCTGTCAGAAGATCCAAGCAGCAGTGGTGCCGTTCAGCCCGGCTTCGTCCGAAACGTTTTCTTCACGGGGAGCGCGCAAGCGTCGGTAGATTCGACGTCGAGCGACAGCAGTGACTGTTCGGCACTCGCGGGGCCCAGCGCCGAGCGTCCGGGCTCGGCTTGCTCGGCGCCGTGCTCGTCCCCGGGCGCGCAGGCGGCTCCGGCCAGCTGCGCTCAGGGTCCCAAATTTAAGCTGACCCACGAAGGGGACCTGCAACTGTGCAGGCTCAACCACAGCCGCACGGTGATCAGCAAGATTCTCAGCTCCAAGTTCCTGAGGCGGTGGGAAGCCCACAAGATCCTGCTTGGCACGGCAGAGATGGCGTCGAAAACGGTGCGTTACGCAAGTTGCATGCCGCTTGTAATCTCTGGCTGTTTTCCTACTCTGTCCGCTTTACGACGCCGTTGACATGTCCCTGTTAACGTCACACACCGTGAAACCCGAGATTGGAGGGGAACAATCTCAAGCGCCGCGAGACCGAGACGCGAGCATAGTTGCGCGTTTGAGACCCGTATCGGTGGTGTTTGCCTTTTTGTCGCCGGTTTCAATGTTTATGGTCTGTGGCATCCTGTTGTTCGCCCTGACGCAGTCAGTCGTCTTTTCTTCGTTATGTTTCGCTCACACTTCCGGAGAGTCAGCAATACCCTGCAGCTTCCTAGCTGGTTATCGCGGAGCTAACGATGGTCCTCCGAGCGCCCAAAGCCCGTGAAACTACGTACGGGCAGTGAAATTCTCTCGTCGCTACAAAAGCGAAAACTAGGGAGCAAGAAGAGCATTGTTATCGTAAGAGCGCAGTTATCAGCCTTCGGCATGCTTTGGCCACATCCGGTTCGGTAATACGAATATGCTTCTGCTCGCGAGTGGGCGGGTTGTTCGACATGGTTCTCTTCTGTGTCATAGAGATTTAATCCTGGAACGTGGCATGTGGAAATGTGCTAACATGTTGAATCACCGCTACGAAGGCTGTCTTCAGTATTAAATGCTTTCAAAAGCGTTTTACAGCGAATCTACCGAACTCGGTTTTTAAAATGTGAGGTTTTCTCAAAGCTCGAAATAAACCAACAAGCTGTTGGCGGGGCTTAAGGGCGTGTAAGAGATCTATCAAAACAGGAAGGCCAGCACTGAGTAGTGATATTTGAAGAGCAGATAAAATGTCAGGCACAAGGCAAACAGATGTCCTCCAGTAAGCCCAGCAACCTTTTCCACTGAACTGTTGTTAGTCTGTAAAGAAATGCATAACTACACAAAAAGAAATGCCCCATAAGATGGTAAACCCTGGAAGCATTTGCTCGTGTAAAGGGGGGGGGGGGGGGGGGGGCATAATATTAAGTAATTAATGGTCAGGCACAAAACTACCCATGTGATATTTATGAATGAATCGCGTGTAATTTGGGGTCAGACATTCCTTTGGGCGCCATGTCATTGAATGACGAACAATGCATCGATTGATATCTTTTTTTCTACTTTTACCAAGATAAGCTAAGCAAATTCAGTTTGCTTAGCTGTCAGCCTGTCACCCTTTCAGAGGGGTTGGGGCTCAACCCCATTGACTCCTCACCTTCAAGGTCGCTCTACAATGCCAGACGTATGACTTGCTTAATAAATGTTCTGTTTAATTGGTATTTTATTTATTTGCTCTAGGATACTTCGAAATGATTTCCAACAAATAACTTTTTATAATACTGAGTGAGATGACATCAAACTTGAGGCCAAAGCTTGGCTATTATGACATTGGCAAATTTTCAAAAATTCAACAATATTTCATTCATGGAGTGATATCTTAGAGTAGGGTTTCCACATCCCTTCTAACAATGAAAAAAAAAAGGAATGTATGAGTAGTTTCATTTAGATTTTTCCATGAGAGCAGGTGCAGCTTTAAGGATTGTTTTGTTGTGACCTTCTACTCGGAGCATGTGCCTGTGTACTACGCAGCAGGGTCATGACACTTCTGTGGCATTAAGAAGGAAATGTTCAAACAGGCAGTTGACGAAGAAGCTATTGTTACATTGTTTTGATCGCTCCTAAACTCTGTTCATCTGTAAGCTGACAGTGTGGTGGGAGCCACACACTTGCTGGGCAAATCAACAGCCTCCCTTTCATCCCCTGAGCTCACTCTCCATGCATGGGTATGTGCGGGGGTGTGATCGCGTGGTGATAAAGGGGCATCTGACTGACTGGTCCAACAAGCATGTAGCTTCCATTGCACTGTCAGCTTACAGGTGAATGGAGTGTATGCGAAGGGAAGCACCTCAGTACTGAATGAATGGAGCTTTTACTTTGTGAGGTTGCAGCTGTTTGTATATACTACACAAAAATGGGGAGGTCTAACCTCACTTGTTAATTTTTTGCTGAGAAAGGATGAATGCTATCCTTTGAGGGGAATTGAAAACAAACATCAGTGGTTTCATTGGTATGTTATGTGTAGGCATGTATACACTACAGCATTCCATTATGAAATGGAGGTTTGAAGGGTCGTGGATTCATTATCAGGAAGATATAGATAGATACATGGTTTTTGTTTAACATAGTTGAAGTTGGTATTTATTGACAGCTATTTTTGTTGACTTGGTTTTGTTTATCATCCAAAGTAGTGTCAATAGAGAGAAGTTTTCACATTTAAATTGTATGTGCGACATTTTAATAAAAATTCACAGTTGTATACTGGCAACAACAACATGTTTGCAGGCTTAATATTTTTTTCAAATTTCCAAAAGTTACATTTTTTAAATATTTTATGATTGGAATTTAGCGTTTCCTTGACCTCATACCATATGGGCAACATGCTTGCATGAAACATTTTTTGCAGTCCATGAAGTTTTCCAAAAAGTTGTTCACAGCCTTTATCTTCCTATTGCTGTTCATTGAAGGTTCTATTGGGGCTGTGGGATAACCTGGACTTCCATGTTATCTGTGTAGGAAAAAAGCTGAAAATTGGTTGAAATTGTTTATAATGGGCCCTTCTCGGCATTGCCTGTGTGCATGCATAGTGGTAGAGACACGGCCATGTGCCAATTTTTGGTGGTGCTCATGTGGCAGCATATCGGCAGTCAGCAGCAGTCTGGAGCCAGGAATAGCCCAGAGTTTCAGTTGCAAGTTGCTGTAATTTTGTTGTGCCTTTGGTTGCAACAACAATATAGGCAAAAGTGCTGGTTAAAGACTTTTAGAAAACCATCAAAAGGCTTCCTGATTTGCCAATAGGTGTCAATAGGGGCAGACTTACCAGTAGGCAAAGAAGGCAGCTGCCTAGGGTGTCAGAATTATGGGGGTGTTAAATTTCTGAGCATGGTTATGATGGTGTCGATTCTTTGCAACCTAGCCCCATCCGAAAAATGCACTGTTTTTTTATGTCCCTGGCACTAACTAACACCACCAAATCCTGGGAATTCATATACACATATAATGCAATTGAGAAAACAGAAAAAAAAAAAAATTTGCTATTTTAGGCGTGGCTTGGTGTGTCTGCGGCTAGGTGTGTGCCAGTTCCGATTGACAGTAGCAAGGGAGTGGCCAGGTTGCTTGGGATCCAGTTTTTAAAGGAAGGGAGAAATTAGACTCCATGTGAAATATAAAACTGTACCCGCTACCTGGCAAGTAATCTCTCCAGCGTTGGTGCAGGGGTGCCAGACAGATTTACCTCTAGCATGGCAGCCATAGAAAGTTGAAAATAAACTAGCAATACTCGAAACTAGATTTAATGGAGGAAGTGATTGAAAAAGAACAAAATGGGAAGAGAAATCATACTGTTAAAAAGTTTGCTTGCTGCAGACTCTTAATTTTGTCCCAAGTACTTTAACTGCATTTTTGTGCTCCCTCAAAATGGCAATACTTTTATTATATTCTTAAGAATTACAATGTAGAAAGAATATGTTCACTAGTGCTGAACACTGGGAGCACGCGGGAGAGAAGATTCTTTGGATTTAGTTCTAACATACTGACAGCATACAACCTTTCACCTAGCAGAAACCATGCTAAGTGGTGCATCATTAATGTAAATGGAGGTTATGTTGCAATGCACAAATTTTCACAAGACACCATCTCTAATTTCCAGTGTGCCACTCTTTATGCGCGAAGTTGATAGTGATCGACAACTTCTCCACTTCAGCACTGAGAAGCGTTAGAGAAAAAGTGGGTTAGTGGGGTCAAATTTGGCACACAATATTCTAAGATAATATTTTCTATCACAATACCCAAGGCTGTCATTAGACGAGGGGATCACAATAAATCTGACGACTTGTCAGCACTTTATCGTATTTCCTCTGCTGAAGCCCCCTCCCCCTTTTTTTTTAGCTCATTTATTCTCCCTTGATGTTTCTTGTCTCTGATTTGTGGCTGCTTTGGTGAACTTATCTCATCAACTTTGTGGGCTCCTCATTTCTGTGTTTGTGGTTATTGCTGCATTCTGCCAAATTTAATCTTGGTTCTCTGATGGTCACTCCCTAAGTCTTTCATGCTTTCCTCATCTATTTCTATACCAGCTATAGAATTTCAGGGACATAGTCTATATTCAACTGAGAGTTGTTTCTCATCCATCATACTTTTGCCTCATATTTATTTTATGCATTTACCAGTTCTAGAGCCAAGTCTTCGTGTAACTCCTGTAACATTCTTCCTGTTGCATTTGTGAACCTATCAGATTCCTCCAAATGTGCATTCATGTCTCCTATAGTTAGTATTTCATGGTCCTTTCCAAGTTCTTGATGTCTGTTTTTATGCATCAAAGTGCTCTGCATTTTCCTCTGTCGAATTATTTCCTGTCCACAAATAGACAAATCCCAGAAGCGTTAGCACCCCCATCCCCCAATGCTACCCTTCATCCTCAAGTGTTCCCTGCATCTTCCTTGACTCTTTTCCAATCATGTCCCCTCACCCATGTCCCTAGACCTCCTCCTTTACACTCCTTTCCTTTCCTGTTTCATCCTGTCCATGAGTACTCTGGCATAAAAGACGGTTCTTTGATATAGCAAAGATGCCACCCTATATACTGTAAACTTTCCCCTTTGGAGTTGTTCCTCAGTTTCTTTTCTGGCTGCTTCACTCTACTCCTTCTATCTTGTGTGTTTATGAACCCTTCATTCTGTTGTATTTTCCTTTTTGTCCTTTGACTCTTAGTCCTGCCCTTCCCTGTCACTATGACCCTTGTTATACTGGGGCCCTCCTTGGGACCGTGTGGTCACGTCAAAAAGTCTGAGCCCTGCAGTCCATGCTCTGTCCCACCCGCCACCCTATTGGTATGCTGTAATGAATGACATACCAGGAGAAAGGGTTGTGTGCTCCAGCCCCATATATCTCCTGGTTGACATCCATCATGTCATACCTAAGGGTCTCCCTCATCTCTCTTATCACCACATTTACTTTAGTGACCTGCCAGGCTACCGCCGGGCGCCTTCCCCAGACCCCTGGGATGACGCACGATACAATGTGCCCCCCCTTCCTAGACGGGCCTAAGTTTGGCCGCTTCTGTCTCTTCCCCAGATGCCGCCCCTTCAGCTTAAGTGCATCATTTACCTCCGCATGTAATTCCACTAGGTCCTTCACCTCCATGGTATTGCAGATCCTGTCTTTATCCCTGTCCATTAATTCGTTGAAACTCCTGCCTGGCATATCCTCTACCTGCGCCCGCTCGTTGTATCCTACAGTCTTTAACGCTGCTTCCTTGCAGCTCGACATATTTGAACTACCCACCACTGGCATTTCCTCTGGCTGCCTCTTCATTTTCTCACTAGCACCTCGCTAAATGTCAGCGTCAGATGCTTGTTACGGCTATTGTCCTGACTATTCTGACTTTCCACTACCATTCTCAGTTGGGAAGGCACCCCCGATTTTCTACTACCTCTCAATTGGAGAAGGCACCCCACGGTTGTACTCACGCTGCCCACATCCCTCTCTTCCATATGTTGCAGTGCCCACTGTCCTTTAGTGATGTTCATTGTCCCAAGTTTTGGAAACTAGTTATGAATCCATGTCATTATTAAGGCCTACATTTTGGTTTGTGGTAATTGAATAACAATGCACATGAAATAGCCATCGAACTACCAAGGTGTTTGTTAATTTTTTATGTTGTGGTTGCTTCTCTTGACATAGCAAATATGCCCATGACCAAATGACCATCTGTAATGACATAGCAAATATGCCCATGACCAAATGACCATCTGTAATGGCTATGGTCCTGCATTTCTGAAGTTCATTTTAAGCCACTCCACTGAGTCATTATTGCCGTCCTTGAAGTACAAAGGCAATCTGATGAAACATAGGCCATAGACATACCGTAAAATACCGAGCAAGCGCCCACTCAAAATATGAAGATAATCACGAAAACTGGGGAATGAGCGCTTGTTAGGTCATTAATTTTACCTATATATCTACTGTGCATATTTTTTCGCATGTTGCAAAATTTTGGGGTGGGCACTTAGTAGGGAATGGGCGGATGCTCGGTATTTTACGGTATGCATTTTTGGAATGTTGGATGCTCCCGCACTCAGAAAACACAGTGCGGCAAATAACCTCCGGCCATTGTTCTCACTTTCAGCCGTCTGGCTTCATGGAAAATGCCGTGAGCTACAGTTCAATGGAGGATGTGTATCCCTTGCTCCGTTGGGATCCAAGCCACAAGTTCTGTCTTCGTGTGGTCATTCCAGAAGGTTCCTTGCTGCTGCAGGCACCCAATGGCTATCTGCGTGACCAGTGGCTGCACTCTATCCTCTGGAAGGTCGGTTCCATATTACTGCCAGGGTTTATATGTTTGGAAAACTGCTTTCGGTGTGATAATATGTACCTCCACAAGTGTACGGGATACGAAAGGCCCATTACTCACAGGGGTGGTCAGTGACACATGCAAAGAGTGAGTTTCCATGCAGCATGGGTACTGGGTATGCACCATGCTCACAATTGCACCTTCTCTCTGTAAACAGTAGGGGATTTTTTCTCTGTAAAAAAAATTGGAGGTTTATGTGGGGCAGTGTCTTCATGCTAGGGTATTCTCAAGCACTGTCTGTATTCACGTTTAGCCAATGCAGAGCGCAAGTTTGTCTGCTTCTTTTGCAGGGGTGGTGACGTCAGAACGCCGATCTCTGGTTGGCTCTGATTGAAGGATAGTGGGTAGACCTCAAAGCAAGCTGCCTTGAAGTCTTCCCCATATCCTTCAATCAGAGCTCGGCATTCTGACGTCTCCACAACTCCTGCAAAAGAAGCAGACAAACTTGCGCTCTGCATTTAGATACAGCTCCATGCTGAGTTATTTGTTTTTCTCCGTTTTGAAACAGAAAAGCTTACTCAAGCATGAGAAAGTCCTCATGACATCACGAAGGGTGGAAGTTGTCACTAAAGAGCTTAAGGTAAGGACATATTGTTTGCTTGCACCTTTGTGGTGAATTTTTTTTTTTGTTTTTTTATGCTTGCAATTTCGAGCTGCTATAACTTTAGTATTTAACGACTATCAATCAATATGGGTGCTATTGGGGTGCCACTAATTGGAAAATCACTACCACAGCGCAAAAAGCATGAGTGTCGTGGTTTCGCCAAACCTTCGAGGTTTCTGTAGTATCAGTCGTGCAACCAAAGTTTCCATTTTGAGAGAGGGAGTACATTGCTATCTTCTGGCATCTATGAAGAATTTCCCGAGGGGGTAAAAGAAACTAGCTTCAAAATATGACTTCTCTGCTTTATTGCTAAGGTATTTTTTTGTTAGTTCTGTTGTTTGAAGCTAAAATGTTCAGTTCTTCAATAAAAAAAGAGCTTGTTTTACAGCAATGGCTGTTACAGGGACCCCCAGCTTCATTTGCGGTATCGGCGTTGCGCCAGGCAGAAAACTGTTTCACGTGCGCTCACACGTGCACCGCCTTGTGACATTAGGCAAAGTGCACGCTCTTGATTCTTGCATGGCGGCAGTGTCTTGTATGGTTGACAAGGGAAAGGGTGCTGCTACACATTCCTCACCGTAAAACTCAGTTTGCATGTACAGTCGGCACGGAATGAAACGCGAACATGGAGCACATGGTTTTCGACCCACGCTGAGTCACCTAGAGACGCAACACCGAAGGTTTGGATGCACTGAGCAAGAGTCTAACACATCGAAGGAGGAGCCATCTTCTTGCAGCTCCCATCTGGTTCAGGTGGTGCAGCATCTAGCGAAAACCATGCACCCACTGTTCGCGTTTCATTCCGTGCCGACTATACTATTAGATGGAAAGCAAGCCACCACTTGAAATGGTACCTGTCTAGATTTTGTCTTAGGCAGGAACATTGACTCGTGTGTGCAGTGTGTTCCCTTTTCTACATACTTCAGTGGCCACCAGGCTGTGTTGTGTGTGATCAAGTAAATGAAGAGTGGATATTCATAAAAGTATGTGTTATTATGCGCAATAACAGCTATTGCTGCCACTTCGCACACTATGGAAAAAAAAACTGCAGACCTTTTTAGCTGGAGTACCAATCACAATGATTTCCTTTCCAAGGTTTCACCTGAATAGCTCCTCCTTGCACAGTTATGGTTATGTTTTGGCTAGTTCCTCAGCATGTTTTTTAGAATTCTGTTGCAAGCAAACTCTGAAATACATACCAATAATTTTTATCATCACTGCTGGCAGAAATATGTTCTCTGTGCCATGCTTGAAACAGAGGAAACGAATTGTCACTTCGTGTTAGTGGTTCCCCTTTATTTTTATGAGAAACTTCTTTATGCAGCCTACTGTAGGCTAAGCTTTACCTGTACTCATTTTTCCTGTTTATTTAAATGTACAATTATAGCAGACTTGTTTTTTTGTTGCTTTCCTTTTTTTTGGGAGGGGGGGGGGGGGGGCAGGTGGGGATGTTGTGAGATTGTATTGCATTCACTTTACAAGTGCATACAATTGAATCTCCTCTCTTTGCTTTTCTCTAAAGGGCTTGGTTGACTTAGCTTTGACTACCCCCTTGCAAGACAAGAATATCTATCAGCGCCCTGTTGATATATTGTCAAAGTTCCTTGTTCTGGTAAGTTAGTTCCTTAAAAACGTTCTGCATTTTCCTGTGCAAGCATAGTTTTTCATAGCATTTCAGTTCACTTCAGATCGTGAGGGGAGGGAGGTGTGTCTGGTTTTTGTTTTTATAGACCAGGGACCAAAATCCTAAACTCCAGCGATAAAAATAGGAAATAATAATCTCAAGCGAAGGCTCTTGTGAAGAGAGGGGCTGCGCATAAAACAAAATTCTTGCTTTTTACAGCACTCTTGGCTTCCTGTGTTGTTCTTGGAGCTTCCTGTCTACTCCTTTCTGACGTTCTTGCACTATGATATGTGCGAAGGTTTCTAAAAGAAAACGGAGCCTTGCAAAAAGCGCAGCCCCCCCTACTGTGTCATGGCGTCAGCATAAATAAACATGGCAGTGCCCATGGAACAGAGCAGACTATGGTCTATAAAAACAATGCAGTTTAATTTTTAGTGCCAAACTTGTGTTAACAAACAAATACTGCTCACATGACTTTGGGCAATCCTATGAATCGTTTGATTCATTTAGTCATTTTGTGAAATCTCAGCCACTCGAGCTCCTCACTGTCTGCATTTTCCTCCAAATTATGTTCATAGACCAGTGCATTTGAGGCATTCAAAGAAAGCCAAGCATATGACGAACAACAGTACTCTGCATTAGATTTAACAGAAGTCTTTCTTGAAAGATTTTACAAGAAAAAAGATGAGTGAATCCTGGGCTGCACTCGTGATTTCCATAATCCTTGCTAAACTCTTTCCTTACTATGGGAAAAATCTGTTTTGTGTGACTTTTGTTACTTGTTTCCTGAGTAAACTCTTAGTGTTTACAATGTAATGCCCTACATAGAAACGAAGCTACATAGCTGGGCTTTTGAGTGGTGCAAATGTCAAAGCACAGACTTGAATTCTAATGCAAAATTTAACTTGTCAAACAATTCTTCTTTTTTTTTTCTTTTTTTAGAAAAGATTTAGACCGGGTAGACATGACAATATCTAAGAAAAAAAAAAGTAGTAAAAAAAAAAACACAAATTATACAAAAACATTTTTTTTTTTTCTCATTTTGACAACGAGAGGTTTGACAAAGCTTAGAGTTCTAGCTCATAATGGTTTTGAGCTATGGAAAATCAAGCCAACTCCCATGACTTGCATGCCATTGTGCTAAGAAGTTTCTCAATGTGGTGAAGTATAGGTCATTAGAACTGAAATGTTATAAACTGGCTTCATCATCAGACTCATGCTGTTGGTTCAATAAATCGACAAGGTATTTGCAAAAATTGCCACACTTGCAAGCGTGCACCGTGTCAATGACGATGACGGGCCATCGGTTTCACACTCGGTTTACAAGTCGCTACCACATGGAAAAAGAAAGAGAAACGCAGAAACCAAAACTGTAGTCACTACCTATGAGAAGGTGCAGCGAGCGCGAGAGCTTGAAATGGGCCCCTAGCCCATCGGTCAAGGGTGCTCGAAGCTGTATGGGCACAATCAGTGAAGAGTTAAGCAGCCTACTCAAGGCATAGATGGGTTGACCGCAGCCTCCATAAGTATTACGTATGAAGTACCGTATTTTCCGGACTATAGTCCGCACCCGGTGTATAGTCCGCAGGGGCAAATATGGGGTCAAAAATAAGTTTTTGCTTAGATAGTCCACACCTTGTGCTTAGTCAACACGAAAATCTTCTCATAGATGGCACATCTTGACAAATGTCTGCTTTCTTAGCTCATAAAGAAGCCTATACTAATATACATAAATCATTGACATACTCTCTAAATCACAAAATCCATCACGTCTCATCATAATCAACGATATTGAAAAACAAAAATCCTGTATAGTCCGCACGCGTAGATAGTCTACAAAGCCTAAAATTTCAACTTTTAGACATGTATAGTCCACGGACTGTAGCCCGGAAAATATGTTAGTAGAGAAATATAAATTCAGCAAATATCTTGGGCTTCTATCGGAAGTTTTGCTTTATTTGTATCAAGTGCTAAACCTTAAATACTATTTTAAAGGGACACTGACAGGGTATTTATGCTCGCTGAGGTTTTTAGTTGTACGTGACATATGAGAGCTCAACTACCCAGAACAGAATTTGCGGCTCGAAATTCGGTTTCTTTCCGCCCGAAAACCGCCGATCAAGAACTGGCCGGTTCGAGTCTCGCTCACTCTCTTTTTCGCGGTCACGGGCCGTTTTCTAAGGTATCGATGCGACCACCAAATTTAATCAAAGTCGTGGGTCACTGAAGGCACACACTCAATATTAAAAATAGAAAAAAATATGAAACCCATTTTTTGTGGCTTCTAAAAAGCTGTAAATACGTTGATTGAAAAAAAAAGTTCCACAGACAACCGGAAGCATTCTGTGCGTTCGTCGTTTCGCGTATCGTGGGACTCGCGGGGACGGCGATGGCAGCGGACGACGGGCGTGGGACCTCTATTTCAGAACTGTCGTTCGCGGTACCGGCGAATTCTGTCTACCGTTAAAAAAGAAATTTGGGACTGATCAAAAGAATTGGTATTCATCCCGTACGACACGCCCGGCCACCAAGCCGATTTGCACGAAGACGTCGCCGAGCCGTCGCTCCCTTCTCGTGGCTGAAGACATCGCTCCCGCAAACGTCAAGCACGACGTGTCTACTTCGAGTTCAATATGCACGCGTGCGATTTCTTTACTAGGTGCGAATGTCCCCAAAGCGTGGTGCTTCCCGACTTCGACCCGGGAGCGCTTTTGCTAAAGAAAAATCGACAGCAAACTTTCCAACTTACAGTTTACCGGCTGAATTATTACTAAGGAAAGAGATCCACCAGAAAAGCGATGCCCCAGTAGCTCAGTCGGAAAGACGTCCGGGTCACACGTGTAGGACCGGGTTCGATCCCCCGTGAAACTTTTTTTTTTTTTTCAAACATTTTCCGATGTTTACATATATATATATATATATATTTTTACAATCATCACTTGAAGAAACAATAAAAAAAATAACAAATTAATGTTGTGGACGATACTTCGCTGAATTAAATGGTATGGGATTTCCGTTTTGACACCTGCGAGCTCAATGTAATCACTTTCCACAAAATGCAAGGAGCATATAAATCAGGTAACGTCCGCTTTCCGAGGTGCCCGTATATGTTCTACAGGAATTGAAGCCAGCCGTTGGTCCCGATCCCGTTGATCTTTCGGAAACTCTGTCGCACAATGCCACTTTTTCCGGATGCAGGAAATGTGAGCCAGCTGTTCACGCAACATCTTGGGTGTATTCTTTTCGGAGCCGATCATGGAAATTCGCCACGGGCACTCACTACTCATCTCCAACTCCTCAATGTACAAAACAACTCATCTTGGAGTACAGAACAACGAGCGGAACAAACATAACTGCAAAAAAATCGCACGGCGAGCAGTTCCCGCACGCCGCATCCCACGCCGCATGTCCTGTCGTCTGCTACCGGAGAGGAGGAAAAAAAAAAAATGCACGGTCGGGTGTAGCCACGTGACTTCCGCCACTCACTCTCTTCTCTCCACTTCTCCGACCTCCGTCGGGTTTCGGTTTCGGTTTCGAGGAGTTGCGTCTTTTGGCTTTATTAAAAAAATATGCTACTCTGTTGCAAAATATTAATTGGGTAGTCCTCCGACACCATAATGAAGCGCCTGGCAAAAAATAAAAATTTTTTTTTGGGGGGTGTCAGTGTCCCTTTAATGCAGACTTTAGAAGTCTTTGTTGTCCTAATAGAGCACAATTCTGCTTCTTGGTTGTGGCATTCACATGCTCTTTAAACCCAAAAATAAATAACTAAAAGCTTTTTTTTTGCTACTTGTTTGTCTCCTGCAGAGCAAGGAATGGCTGCCGGAACAGGCTGTTGAAGACGTAATTAGGACTGTACTTCCACTCTTGGAACGAACCACACCTACTCCCGAGATATGTGAATATTTTTGTAAAGTAAGTCTGTGCAGTCACTACATTTTGTACAGTTAATCTGCTATGTAAGGCTTGCAGTTTATTAACATTGGATGTGTTTCTTGCTTCATTCTAGCATTGTAAGGAATGTCCCCGATCAAAGTTGGTTTTCGAAATGTACACTCCTGTTGTCCACAGAATACTGAAGCGGAATATGGTACGCCTTTTTTTTTTTTTTTTAATTGTACGGTGTAATTTTTTTTTTTTTTTTTGTCTCAAATCTTGGGCTGTATAGTTACTGGTCATTTTTGCTTCTTTAGGATTTTGGGAAGTACCCCATGACACGATTACTAGTCCAAGAATATGTCCAAGCTTTGAACTGCCAAAACTCTGGGTTGCAAGCCGTGGAAGACTTTGTTCGAAGGTAAAACTTTTTTTTTTCTACATTCCATATGCTGGTTTTTAGAAGTAAGAGTAGTCCTAACGATGGGGTTTGGTGATACTCCTATAAATTTACCTTTACAGCGTTCATGGAGAAGGAAGCACATGTCCACATCCCCGTGTTCTGCCAAACCTTGTGGCCACAGTACTGGCTGGAGTGTTCTCTTTGTTTGAGGAGCGCAGATGGTAAGCTGACCATACCCTCTTATGTTTACCTAGATGAAACAAGAGCCTAGTAACATTTTACCACAGTTGTGACCTGTTTAACTAATGCTCGGCACAGCAAATTTTATGGAGCAACACAATAAGGGTGGTCTAGTCTCCTACACTACAAAGGAATTGTAGAAATCATTTCTCTGGGATCATGAGCTCTGGCAGGGAACTTGCATTAATTTCTTTTCGAATTGCTGCTGGCACCAAAATGTTGTGGTTGTTTGGTGCCACTACTGTTGTGAGGTGTAAAGCATTTACCAAATATGGGTGGCTGCAAAGTTTGGTTCTGAAGTGCCATTAGAACGGAGTCTCAAAACGTAGTTGTGAGGTCTGTCACTTTTAATTAACATAAAATGTCCAAGTGCCATCAGGAAATCCCGAAAGACGCTGGTTCATTATGCTGCTGGGATGCAAAAGTAACTTAGTTTTCAGGGCCATGAGTATTCAAATTTTTAAGGCGAAAGCCTTATATGTTTCATTATGGGAAAAGGCAGCGTCGGCATTGTGCCAGAAAGGTGGTCATAAAAATATGTCATCAAGCACGCACTACTGTAGGTCAAAGCGGACGCGCCTCAGAAATAAAACACAAAGAAAAGCACAGCAGCGCAGATGCTTCGTCACAGAAGCCGGGAAGCTGGCGCAAAAGGAAGACGGGGCGCGCTGCCTCCGGCGCGTCAGTTGCACTTTGGACTTCATCTGTGCTCGTCGTGTGCTTCGTGTGATGGACTGTGGGGCTACCGCGTCTACATCTATGGCCTCGACATTGGCAGCAGCATCTATTTACGGCGGCTACCGAATACAATACGGGCAGAAACAACTTTAATACGCGTAGAAACATTACTCGAAAACATTTCACCCGCGGGACTACCGTGAAATCCCGAGAAATAGCCCACCTAAAATCAAGAAAAAATTGGGTGAAAATATGTGGTGGGCTAACTTTCAGTGTACAATCAAGAAAAGTTGAAACCATTATATTTTTAGGTCATGCTTCCCTTCCAAGCTTGTTATCGTGGCGAGGGGCAACGAAGTAAAGATGACTGCTTCCCAGTCATTAATGATCGGGTATATCCCGCCGCAGCTAACTAGCCGCATTTACGCGCCGAGGCCATCATGGATCCCAGCACTATTATTACTAGAAGTGGGCTATCTTTCGGTGTATAAAAAAATATATAAAATCAAGCAAAACGTAGGGGTGGGCCACCTTTCGGGAGTGGGGCATCTCTCAGGATTTTACGGTATAATGTTTTCGCATTCCTACACGTAAGCAGCAGCCTTAAGCGCATTTGACTTGTTTTTTTTTTATAGTTAGAAAATGTCTTGACAAGGTTCTTCATACCATAATATAGTGAGAGATGCCCCACCCCCAAAAGATAACCCACCACTATTTTTGGCACGATTTGCTACTTTTTCAGAAACACCAAAAGATAGCCCACCTCTAGTAATTGCAGAGCTCTGGCCTGTGGTGATCTTGGTAGAATTGGTGTTACTCAGCCACAGCAGGATTAGCGAACATGGCAAACTGGGAATGATGTTTTCCTACTTTCCGCTGCTTCGCAATGTGAAAACAAGCTTGGCAGGTTACAAAATATAAAAGTAGATTTCTTAAAATTTTTCTTGATGGCACACTGAATGTAGGGTGCCTGGAACGCGTCTCCGACTGGTGTGTTTACCGCTTCCAGAAAAGTGGTCCCTCGAGTTCCGCCCGGTGACGTCATAGAACTGTCATGCTGTCGCCGGTCGCGATCCTGGTGGTGTTCCAGCAGCGGTGGTTGATGTGGCAGATGCCTGTTCCGCTGCAGGTCACTCTTTGATGTGACAGTCCACGGAAGCTTCGGCAGTCAGAAGTTGGGACGCCGTGACGACGGCGACACTCGCGTGCACTCGTGCTATTCGCCAGCATTTCTACGACCAACCGCCAGGATCGCGACAGGCAACATCATGACACTCCGACTTTTGTGACGTCATTTGTTGCCACGTCGGGACCACTTTTGATGTATGGGCGCAGCATGGGACGCTAAACACACCAGTTGAAGACGTGCTCCAGGCTCCGTACTGAAAGTTAGCCCACTCCTTGTTTGCACCCAATTTGCTCTCGCTTTTAGGTTGGCTATCTCGAGATCTTACGGTAGTTCTTTCGAATGTTTATGGAGGTTGAGGCTTCATGTTACCCTAAGGAAGCAAAAGGAACTGCTGCATATTCATGAAGTATCATCAAAGTTGGGTGGGAAAAGGGTCATTAAGTTCTCACCAAATGTATGTTTTCATACCATGCAGCAGTTAGCCTGTAGGTGTCAGGAGGAATTTTTTTAGTTCTTAGAGCTGCAAACAGGTGCCCAGATATTTAGTATGCTGTGACGTGACTGCTGCACCGTTTGCACCAAACTGTGCCGTAGCGCTTACCCTGCTACATCCTGCTACACTTTGCCAATATGCGAGGAATTTGTGCCAACATTCCACGAAAACTTATTTTCACTTTATTAATGCTGACAACATAAACAATAAGACACCACCACCACATGTCTGAATCGTTACGGTAGGCTTGTCAAATAAAATAGTACTATACTCTATTTGATACTGTACCAGACATTGGCAGTGCTTTTAAAGGGAAACTGAAGCGGTTCTCTATTTGAGAAAAAACATTTCAATGGCCTTCATTCTACCTCCAGGATCAGGAATATCAAGGTTATTTTTCAATTTGGTGCACGGAGGCTTCAGAAATTAATTTTTAAAGTACCGCCGAAGCCCCTCCTTCCCGGGGCGTGACGTCACACTAGGAGCGTTCGGAATATCTGCTCTCACGCATCTTCAGCGCCTGTCAAAGCTATGCTCGCGCACTCTTGCTATTTTCAGAAAGGTCAGAGAGACGTCACGACTGGTGTCAGTGCGGGGAAATATACCTGGCAAGCTTGCCGTTGCACGCGCTGAACACACGAGCGACACGCGCTTGGAGGCCCGAAGATCCTAGTATGACGTCACGACTGGTCGAATGTCTTTTCGCTTTTTCTCGCTTTTAGTTGCATCTTCGGAGAAAACAAAAGTGATATTGAGATTCACGGGATAAAAATACGCCAGAATTCACCTCTAACTCGTTTGTTTCAAGAAGTGTTTCAGCTTCCCTTTAAGTTTGGCAACATTTCTCATAATCATCGTCCTTTCTGACTGGATTGCTAGCATCGTTGAGTGCGCTTGTCACCGTGCAGTGGTGTATTGCAGTGAAGCGACAACTGCATAGTAAGCGTAGCAATTTTGCGTTATCTTGCTTCGCCGCAGTGCACTTGTGTGCTGAGGTGCAATCACTCTTCCAGAGCGAGACCTTGCACGGTTTCTGCATAAAACTGTGGCTATACATGATAGACTGCAATATTCTGTTGCGACAATATCTTTTTCACATTCGAGGTTCATTAACTATACTTGAGTATTCCCAGAAAATGTTTATGAACTGTTCTATATGTTTATTTTTTATCTCAACTTTCGTTTAGTTATTACCTTTATATAGTTTCCATTCATTCTATGGCACAATGAATACAATAAATTAGAACTGCATTATCCGGAGCAGTAAGTGCAAGCATGGGATTAGCCTAAATGAGTTCAGCTGTTTTTTTTTTTTTTAAGAAGGCATATTTTTTCGTCATCTTGTAAACCCTGAGATGGGGAACGATAAAGAAACGGACGAACACAACAAAATCTCAAACGCAGCTGAAGTTTTATTGATAGAAGCATACCAATAAATAGATTTTTACACAAAAGGAAAAGAGAAAGGGCAACAAAAACTCAAAAGCAAAAACAAGACGGCCAACGCGTTCACCCCAGACGGCCTAAGCCACTCCCCGGCTCCAACAAACCCCGGAAAGGGCGCCGACCACTCGAACAACAACAACCCCACGGTCACCACACATGGTGACCTCCAAACCGCTAAAGCCTAATCCCCAAATTTCTTACTCGAAGCAAACGCTTCCTGGTCCCCCCCCCCCCCCGCCTTTTTCAAGGTTTGCAAAGCTCCCGTCAAACAAGCAAAAACTCTTTCATTCGATCAGTGATCACCAAGGACGGCTGGCTGACACAATTCCCCCGCTCGCGAATGCATAAAGTCTCCTTAATTAGCCTTCTGAACAATTCTTTTTCGTTACACAACACAGAAGTCTTTTCCCAAAGAGGGGAACAAGAATTACAAGAACTAACATGATTAACCAATTCAGAATTCTGCGCCAAATTTTTTACACACCTTTTATGCTCCCCAAGTCGGTCATTCAAACAACGGCCCGTCTGACCAACATAACACAATCCACAGTCAAAGGGGATCTTGTAGACTACCTCTGTGACACAGGAGACTGAGGGATCTCTGTGTTTTTTCCCGCAACATCGCTCACGTCTGAAGGAAAACGGAGTAAGCCTGTCTAAACGGAAGTCCGTCCTAAAAACTACATTAACGTTAAACTTCGCACCCAAGGCCTTTAGGCTATGAGAAAAACCATGAAAATAAGGAATTACAGCAAAAGCTCTACCTTGAACCCTCTCAGCGGTCACCGACGTGCGTACAAGCAGTCTACGTGCACTAGAAACGATAAAATCCAAACTATAACCCGCTGACAGTAGACGTTTGGTTTGAACGTCGAAAGCGTTACCAACACAATGAGAACAAGATTTTTTCAGTGCACTGCCAATTAATGATCTCACCACCCCCCCTTTTACCAGTTTAGAATGAGCACTCCATCTAGAAAGAACCTTCTTTACGGTTTCCCTACCATAAGACCAACAAAGCCCCCCTTTATTAAATAGTTGCAAAATGACAAAAGCTTTGATTTTTATCTAAGTGAAGAGCTGCAACTTTATTTAGAAGTTAAAAAAGATGATTTTTATCTAAGTGAAGAGCTGCAATTTTATTTAGAAGTTAAAAAAGAAAAAAATTTGGGTGCTTGAAGTGATTATATTTTGACATTATTTCAATGAAATATACTATTTGGCTTTCGTTTGACTTCATACCTAAAATAATCCTGCACAGCAGTTCATACTGCCATTCATTAATGAGCATGCTGTTACTATGCCTTGTACTTCTACGTGCAATTAAACTGCCAGCTAGGGAATCAAACATGCCATGCTGTTGATGCCATCAAAAGGTTGCACAAAAGCAGGGGAGACAAAGTGGACTTAAACACATAAATCTTAACATAAATGAAAATTGAATGTGTGCTTATGCTCCAAAAGTACTTTTTACTGCTCCAAAATAGACTTGGTTGCTCCTAAAGGTGCTTCAAAATGACTCTGACCAATCACATGGCTGAGTATGGAGCTGCTAACATTGCTGAACTCAGAATAGTTCTCATGTACACAAACCAGCCTATATCCATATGTTTGCTTTCAAGTTTGATGGAAGCTGTGCATTTCCAATAATTCTTAAGTTTGCTAAGACCATTTATATCGTTTGAAGGCACCTAGAATTTTTGAATTATTTGCAGTGCTGAAGACCGCAATGACTTGTCATGTTCGAATTTGGACTGGGAGGCAAAACATGACTGCTTTGTGAAACTTCTGGATGTAATGTAAGTAAAAAAGCTTTCCCTTAGAAATAGTATAGATTGGATGGTATAAGTTTAATGTGATTTACGATGGTCGAATGTAGGCTCTAGGAATTTTTTTTATAATTTGTTGTGTACTGTAAACAACTTCATTTTCCAGGGCATAATATTTCACAAATGTTGGGAAGTGTGGATTTCAGGAATATGTCGCAGGTACAAAATTTTGCGGTTGGGAGTGATGTGCTGTTTATTTGTTACCATAGGGTCATATAGGGAGTATTCACTGGACGCCATATTTGTGGGTGCTGTTTAGAGCGCATACTCAGAATGAGCTCACATCAATAGGCTGCTAAGACCGGCACTCTTGGTGGTGCGGAATGCACGTTGCGAAAGAACTGTGGAAGCTCGCCATCAGCACGCGCTCAGCATTCGCACACACAGCTATGGCCGCCAGTGAATACTCCCTATAATGATGCAATCTATTTTTTTTTTTCAATACTTTTTTAGCCTCGAAATTTGCGCAAACATTAGTGGCTTGCGACAATTTAGTGACAGTATCATGATCTAAACCCCGAGACAAGAAGAATTAAAAAAATGGACAAGACAATACAAAATCTCAAACACAGCTGAGTTTATTCTCAAGGGAACAGCAATTTATGGCTATCCACATGCTGCTGCAAAGTTGGTGAAACTGAGCCAGACTAGCTGACCTCCACTGAGACACCACACCACCAGCAGACACCCGTTGCCAAGCTACCCGACATGATAATCTCCATCAAGGCTATGTGAACCAAATGAAAGACCGCACTCTGTCCCCCCCCCCCTTCGACCACCCACATCTTGACGACAGCACTCACAACAGGAGGAACTTTCTCACACTTTCGTTCAAAACTATGATGGCTAGCTCACATAATTTCTGTGGTCCCCATATACTTGAGGATCCCTTTAGGATTCTTTTGAAAGAATAACTTCCTTTGTGCAAGATTAAAGTCTCTTCCCATAATGATGAGCAGGCATTGCATTCAGCAATATGTTTGGTTAGTTCAGCGGATGGAGAAACATTTTTTCCACTTTTGTGTTCCAATAGGTGGTCATTCACACACCTACCCGTCTGGGCCAGATAGCAGAGCCCACAGTCAAATGGAATTTTGTACACAGTTCCTTGACGCAACAAATTGAAGGATCCCTATGTTTTTTCACACATCCTTGTTCTTTTTGTTGATATTTGGTACTTACTCTGGTCACTGACAGAGTAAGAATGTCGGAACGTGGCCCACTTTTTTCCCGGTGTCTTTCGAGCTCAGTTGTCTCATTCAGCAACCAATAGAAGCACGTAGTCTTCTATAAAAAAAAAAAATTTTTAAGTTCTATAAGCCAGTGTTTTATCAGCAGACAACACTGACAGTTTGTTTACATTCATTCGGAGTATGGACCTACAGTACTTGTCCATGCTGTGTCTTGTTACTTCATTACTATGTAAGTTATAGTGCTCTTATCTTGTCATTATTTACCAAGTAATCAATTCCACTGTGGTTAGAGGAATTTCTTTAGTGTAAGCAACCCAAATATAAAATGAACGGGTCAGCCATTTTGTGCAGGTTAATGTTGACATGGAAAAATGATTATAACAAGTTTGAAGCACAGTGCACTGTGCTCTAAAATAGGCTTGAATAGGATTGGCATAAACTCCTGGTATAGTTAGTAGTACTGGCAACTTCTGACTTGCCATCCATGAAAACACCTTCAGTTTTTGGTCTGAACACTCTTGCAGTGTGTGCATTTGCTTAGCTTCCCACTTTTTTTCTTTCTAATCTAGTGTGGCTTATGAAGACTGGTGCCTCTCCTTGGGTCAGCTTTTACAGCCAATTCCATTTCCCGATGAGTAAGTTGCACCGTTACTTGAAATTCAATTTTTAATCCATCTGCATTCATCCTTGCATATACAGGGTGTTCCCGTAAACGTGGGCAAAATCACTCCTGCAAAAACTAGGCATAAAAAAAAAAGATTGATGCCAAAGTGGTCTGTGTCAAAGGGCCCATTAAGGAAAATTATTCGATTTCAATATAATTGGGTAATTAATTAATTTTGAGTTATTAATTGTTAATTATTTATTCCACAGAGATGGTTTCAATTAGAATCTTGCTGGGCATCATCGAAAATTACTAAATACATCCACATTACAATGATATTAGGCACGCACAGCATTTTACGGCGTTCTGAAAAAACGTTTTGATTTGAGCGTGTTTCTGGGTTTCGGTTTCTTGTCGGAGCGCATCTCCGTGCGGCCCCCCCCCCCCCCCCCCCCCTCCTCCCCTCCTTCCTGTGTCTAAAAGGTGCGTGCGCCGTCCGCATCGCACGTAAAGGTGCGTCCTCACACTGGCACCAACGTCAAAACGGCAAACCTCATGTGACAGTCCGGAGGCTTTTTTATCTAGCCTCTACTACGTGCGATGCGCAGGGCACATGCACATTCACGTTGCACGCTTTAGACACGGGGTGCAGGATTGTCTGCGCAGAGGCGTGCCGATAAGAAGCCGAAAGGCAGAAACACATCCAAATCAGGCATTCTTTCGGAATGCCGTAAAATGCTGCTTGTGCCTTATATCATTGTAACGTGGGTGTATTTAGTAGTTTTTGATGATGCCAAGCAAGATTCTAATTGAAACCATGCCTTTAAAATCAATAGTGAACAATTTAATTGCTCAAAATTAATTCATTACTCAATTATATTGAGCACTAATAATTTTTCTTAATGGGCCCTTTGACACAGACCACTACAGCATCAACCTTTTTTCTGTGCGATGCATAGTTTTCGCAGGAACGATTTTGCCCACGTTTCTGGAAACTCCCCGTATAGGGTGTTTGATTTTAATTTGAACATATTTTTTAAGAAAAGGGTGTGGAGAGTTAAACCAGTGGCGTCTTCACCATGTATTTATCAGGCTCGGCGGACATTAGATGAGGGGACAATCATCATGTTAAGTAGGCTCATTGACTAAAATATGTTCATTAACTTTTTAATTATTGTTTTTAGGGATCATGTTGCAATTGTAGTAGTATTGACAGCAATTACATCAGAGGCCAGATCAGTTAAAAAAAAAATTTTTTTAGATATATTAATTTTAAGAAAATTTACATTTTTTATTTAATTTAGAAATTGCTTGCAAAAAGCGCACCTCAAGTCCTGGCCACAATGTCACTTAGAAAAGTGACATAGTCGTTTCAATCATGTCACTGTGTCAGCGGTGTGTCCTTTGTGGGTAACCAGACGACACAAGTGACAATGTGTCTGACGCGACTATGTCACTCTTCTAAGCGTCATTGTGGGCAGAGCTTGCGACACACTTTTTTCTCGCAATTTTTAAATCGAGTTAAAAAAACATGAATTTTTTAAAATTAATATTTTAAAAACAATCATATTTTTGAATATTGTTTTAATTGGTCTGGCCTGACGTAATTGCCGTGAATACTGCAATTGCAACGCGACCCCTATAACCAATCATTAAAAGGTTCATTAACAAATTTTAGCTAATAAGTCAAGTTACCATGACGATTATACCCTCATCTAATGTCTGCCGAGCTTAAAAATACATGGTGAAGATGGCACTTGTCTAACGTTCACTCCCTTTTTTATTTTTTATTTGTTTTAATTAAAATTTAATATATTTTGTATACTTCATGTTATCTGGAATTGAAACTCTCAAAGTACAACTATGTCTATCTTCTCTTTTCTAGCGCCCTTGCCTACCCGCGATTTACTTCGTAAGTATGTTAAGCTTTTGTGGGGTTCTATCAATTTCTTCCTCACTGGGAAGAAAAGATGGAAAAACAGCTCAGAAGTTTACCGAGGAAACAGAACATACAAAGCGATATAGTTAGCTTGAACAAGCAATCAGCAGTATTTTCAGATTTTTCTCCTAGAATTGAAAACCTGCAATAAAAACTAATAGTGCAGTGGAATCTACATTTTGGTCAGTAACTTGGTGGCCCAGTCCTCCCCGACTAAGATTCGAAAAAGGACCGACATTGTTTTCACACTTACTGGGCCGTGCTGTGTACTTAAAAGATATTGCGCTCTTACCTTGGGAGTTAAGTGCATGTGGCACCCACACTAAAACGAAAAATTTTCATACGAAGCACTATATACTGTCTTTCATACTTTGTGTGCATCGCTGTCAGGGCCGCTAGAATGAGCATGTGGCTTCACATACCGTCTCATTTGAGTGAGAGCATGTGCAAATGAACTGCCAGGTCGTGCCACACGCTTGAGACAGCAGCTTTGACAGCCTTGTATACAAGTATGCAACGGAGTGTAGATAATGGTGTCGAGACATTACTCAGAAAATGTTTCGCTCAAAGTTGCATATTTACTGAGAAAAATGAACGGCCTAATTGAAGCCAGAGCACCAGCCCTGAGGAGTGGGACATCGCAGATTACAGAAGTCTCTGAATGTTCCTCGGGTTATTTCACTCCTCACAACTAAGCGATTGCATCTTGTTCTGTTCCTGCTATTTCGAAAATGGATATTTTTTTAAAAATTATTTATGTAATGCAAACTTTGCTGTCAACGCAGGAGAGAAAGAAAAAAAAAATTTGTTCAAGCAAAACAAGCACATTCCAGCGCTCGGACGGATCATTACGATAGCACAGGCGAGGTAGTTGCCTCCTGTGCATCTTTTAAATACATATTCAACATGCAATATGTGCAAATGCTAGTCAGGCAAACACTCACGTAATGCCAACTTGAATGAGTTAAGATCATGGCAGGTGACAGCCGATACTATTATTTTTATTAATGAAGATGCGCCACCAGCACCTTAGTACTTCTCAAATGTTGTGCGTCGTAATCACACATGACCAAGAAGATTCTTCATTCTTTTTATCCTTTTCTTTTTGTCATTTATGTTAGTTTTTTTTATCTGGGAAAACAGGGATGATTAGATTATCATCCGCGTTTTCCCACTGCTAACCTTTTTTTCTGTTGCACAAGTGGTAACTTTGGTGCACCTCCGTGTTTTTTCACATGCTTCAAGTCACTCTAAAATTTGTTGATTTGGTGGTTTTATGTAGAGCCTTAACGCATATAACGCTCTCTGCGTGCTACTCCTTCACGACGCTCGCTACGGCGCGATACTCATTCAAAACACTCACTACGTCGCTCGTTTGTGACGATTTTCCTCGTGAAAAATGCCGCATAAAACACTGCATTAAATCAGCGGGATGTTGAGTCGGCGTGATTGTTTCTCAACAAAGCGGTTAACGGGGGCCCCTCGGGGTGCAGGGGTCTGATGCCCGTGGTGGAGCGGCTGGGCACGGACCCGCGCTGCGAGTTGCACTCGCTGGTGCTGAGCGCACGTGACGGCAAGGACGGCTGGCTGCAGCTGTACTGCCCCGGGTCGGCGGCCTGCCAGGACGAGGGAGCCCTGTGGAGCCGGCTGCTCGGCACGCTAGTGGGCTGCTGCTGCCGCCGCAGGGCCTTCCTGGGGCCCCTGGCCAAGTGGCTGGGGCCCCTGAGCCTGCGGGCCCTGCGGGGGGACGCATCTTGCCAGGCGGTGCTGTGCGCCATGCTGGAGCTGGACGCCCTGGAGGCGCCCGACGCCCGGCTACAGGCGGCAGCGGCCCTGCGCGCGGGCGCCTCCCCGCACTATGGCGCCCTCTGCCGGCGCCAGGGTCAGGCACGCCAGCTGCAGCTCCGGGGCGGGCCCCGCAAGCTGACGCTGCCTGCACGCTCGACGGTAGGCTTCCCCTCTGCCCAAACGCTTGTGCGCCGGTCGGATGAGGGTGTACGACCGGGCATCTTTGGAAAGGACACCTCCGCCAGAGGTCGGCATTTTAGGTTGCCCTCACTCACCCTCACAGCCACACTCACCTAAGCCCCTCACTCACCCTCACCCTCACAGCTACACTCATCTTCAGCCCCTTACTCACCCTCATCCTCACAGTCAGACTCACTTTCAGCCCTTCGCTCACCCTCACTTAATCTCTCGGCCCTCACGTCCCTCACCCACTCATGGCCCTCATGCCCCTCACGCACTCACCGCCCTCACGGCCCTCATGCACTCATGGCCCTCACGACCCTCACGACCCTCACGCACTCATATCCCTCACGCCCCTCACGCACTCATGGCCCTCACGCCACTCCCCGCCCTCACGCCACTCCCCGCCCTCACGCCACTCACCGCCCTCACGCCCCTCACTCACTTATGGCCCTCACACACTCACCGCCCTCACGGCCCTCACGCACTCATACCCCTCATGCCCCTCACGCACTCATACCCCTCACGCCCCTCATGCACTCATGGCCTTCACGCCACTCGGGCCCGCTTCAGTTGGGACGATTTCGCCCAGAAACTTGACGTCGCCACACGAGCAACACTGGCCGCCCGCGTTCACACGCAGCAAGCAATTGCTGCAATTTGCCATCATCATGAAGCTTTATTTTTCTTGCACTATTTAGACACACAATTACGTGCTATAAACAGGTTTTTATGCATTTAAATCTCGTTGAGAATACTAATGCATCTTTCTGAAGCAGTTTATTTCCAAAAATGATCAATTTCAAACCAGAACCAAGTCTTTTGTTGTCATCATCACCGGCATGAGGTATCACATGAAAATATTGCGTCCCTGAATGGATGCAGCTGCTTCAAACGTCTTCAAATTGCTTCGAGTTGCTCACTTGTTTCGAGCCGGACCCGATCTCAGCAATTCGTGTTGATTTAGGGAAAGCTAGGGAACAGCCCGCCAGCAACACCAAAATTGCTGAGAAAGTTGCTCCGTCTGAAGGAGGCCTCACGCGCTCACCGCCCTCACGCCCCACACGTATGCATGGCACTCACACCCCTTACGCACTCACGGCCCTCACACCCCTCACGCCCCTCACGCACTCATGCCACTCACACACTCACCACCCTCACGGCCCCCATACCCCTCATGCATTCATGGCCCTCACGCCACTCACCGCCCTCACGCATTCATGGCCCTCACACCCCACACGCACTCACCGTTCTCACGGCCCTCACGCACTCACGGTCCTCACAGCCCTCACGGCCCTCACTCACCCTCACACTCATGAATTTTTCTGGTTCAGAAACTCACTCACCCTCACCTCATCCGTGAAGATGAGGGTGAGTGAGGGCCCTCATGAGTGAGGTTTGCCGAGGTATGACCTCCGCTATGTAAAGAAGTAGAGCCAAGGGCTTATTCCGCGTATGTTCGACGTGCCGTTAGGACCGCTGGGACAAATTTTCATTTAACGTATGGATTGTGCGGCTCCACGACACATAAATAGCCACCATTAAGAATTTTCTTGTAAGGCCATAAAGTGGCTCAAGCAAAAGAAACGGAGGGGCTTCTGCAAGGTTTTCTGCATCGTTGCAATTTTTTATGCCGCCATTGTCGTCTTATGCCGCGTAGCCAAGCTTTTGGCATTTATAATAAATAGTCCACGAGAACCTCGTTAGCACATTTTTCGGTGAACTGCAAAGCAAAGTATGAGCCAGGGAAACAACAGCTGATATTGCTCTGTACGGGCTAATGGAAGCGACGGGAAGGAACGCTTGCGCAATAGGGCGACCTCACCAGGAGTTGCGCGACAGCATCACTCCCACGGTCCATTCTGGTACCTGTAGTCCCCAGTTTTTTGGCCACTCCAGTGCGAGTTGTATTCCCAGTGTTTGGAAATTTCCGGGTTAGCATGAGGCTTTTAATTGGGTGTTTATTGACATTTTTCAATGGGTGCCTTCACCTGTTGTGGGCCAGAGTGTTACAATGACAGCACCAGCCAAAAAGGCATGGCATTTTATGTCTTCCTGAGGGAAAGCAGCTTCTGTCAAGAGTGGCTAAGAAAAATAAACAGAGCCAGACAGAGCACCAGGAAAAAGCGTTTTTACATTTGTTTCATGATTTGCTTTATAATTTATATCCAGCCTTTTGCTTATTAGCTAAAGAGTACAAGACACGAGACATAGTAAGGCGTGCCAAAGGGTTCCATGTATTGGAACCTCCCTGAGCACTCGCTCCGTAGCGACCTATCTCAGTCGGGAACTCTGCTCTTCTTTGCAGTGGCCGTTGTTAATACACTTTTTGCTCATGAATTTTGGTGGTTATAGATGTTATTTTGACGACACTGTTTCAATCGCAACTGTGCTTCAAAAGATAGGACAATCGCTAAAAAAAAAGCAGCGATTCCCGATACGCATGACTTGAAACGAAACCAACTTTTTTTGAAAGCAGGCTTTATATTTTTTTTAATTAAAACGTGAAAACGCTGCATAAGGCAATTTAGAAGTGCAACACTTGCCTCCGAAAAGACTGGTGTAGGCAATGAAAAATGGAAATAAACTGCGATAAGACAGTGTTTTCTGTAATAACTGACAAGAAGAAAAACATCCTTCCAGTTGGATACGAATTTGATAATCAACCTCTTGTCCAAGTTCCTCAATCTAAATACCTGGGCATCTCAATATCCTCTGACCTAAACTGAAACATGCATAACGACAATCTTTGCTCGGCTGCCAAGAGCAAGCTCTGGTTCTTTAAGCACAACCTTAAACCCGCTTCTCCCGTAACAAAACTTATAGCTTACGAAACGCTAATACGGCCAATCTTAGAGTATGCCTCCGTCATATGGGATCCCTTCAGAGCGAATCAGATAAACCAACTTGAAGACGTTCAACGAATGGCAGCTAAGTTTATATTATCAAGTATCGCAGAACAGAATCAGTGCAGGATAAGCTTACACAGCTGAAACTTCCACTTCTTTCTCAACACGGAAAAATTGCACATTCAAAAATTTCTATTTATGCTAAAGAATGACATGTTTAATGTCAACTCGAACCGCTACATGACACCCCGGTTATCTAGGCCCCTAAGAAGGAACCATTCAAGCCAAATTGTATTAGAAAAAGCAAACAACGCTACTTTTAAGTATTCATTATTCCCAAGAACAATATTAGATTGGACCTCTCTGCCTCAAGAAATAGTAAAAGAGTGTCAATGTAGACGTGCTTGAAAAGTGCATGAGCGAACTGTTTTTTTGTTTGTTTTTTCCATTTGTCTGAAAGTCTATTTATTGCTGTGCTCATATCAATAAATTTCAGCTGCGTTTGAGATTTTGTTGTGTTCGTCCGTTTTTTTATTGTTCCCCATCTCAGGGTCTACAAGACGTCGATTAATTACCAGCTCGCCTACATTCTATCACTGCTTACAACTGTACATTCTAAGTTAACTATCCCTGTCAAGATGATTTAATATTTATGTGTATTTACGTGTGTGTAAAGCACTGGCCTACAATTCTCCGATTGGAGGGGTTGGCACCCCGCCAAGGTGCCAGCCATATATGGATGCCTTTTGCGGAGAAGGTGCCATGTCACTGAGCTTTTGGTTTTTATATCAAAAGATCCCCAGGTTGTCTAAATTATTCTTCTCCGGGGCATGAGGGATGCCCTTAGTTAGTTTGGTACGTAAAGCCCAAATTTTAATTTTGATTTGGTCAAGGTTGCCTGCTTCTGTCTGGGTTTGTGGCCTGTAATATGATGAGCGTGTTCTTGATTAAGCTCTAGCTTTCGTTACTTGATAGCTGAGCTTCACTTGGTCTTACGCAGGATGCTGACTTGGAGAAGCTGTTGAGCTGTGGGTCGTTTGGGAACTTGGAATGCCTCTCACTGGCCTTCACTCAAGTGACCAGTGCCTGTGCTGAGCACCTCATCAAACTACCTTCCCTACGGTATCTCAATCTGTGGTCCACGCAGGTAACAACACTTGTTAAACAAAAACGGGGGGGGGGGGGGGTTCTGTCTGTGGTCAAAAAAGTTCCAGAGCATTCTCATCGAGGCATAGGGGTGCAGCAGTGACAAGAAAAGTCAATTTTTTTTTTTTATTAGCATCCAGGATGTGTAAAAGTCAACTTCTGTACCACTAGCTTGATTTCAATCAAATTTGCAGTGGGAGTTTATATGAGTGGAAAGACCATTCCTGACAAATTTCATTGTCCTATGTCAATTCTGAAACTTGTTACGAATGTTACAATATGAAGTCAGTGTGTTCGCTTAGAAAAAATAAAATAAAAATTTATGATTTTTATGTGTAACGTAGTCATAAGAATACTCATAGCACATACCCAGCTATTTATTTTGTTATATTGCATTATATCTCATAAGTATAACTTCATAAGAAGGTTAAAATATTTTTTTTTTATGTCTGCACTTTTCTACAAATGTAGTTTTATTAGCATGAGAGAATGTTAAAGTAGAAAAACGTACCAGCCAGGCATGTTTCTCCCAAAATTATGTCCCAGCAAACCACCTAAGAATAATTCTCTATTGTGTAATAGGGAAACAATAGTTTTCCCAAAGTGAAATTTATGCTGAAAAGTGGAACGGAGAAAAATGCATTCAAAGTGCTCCAACCCCTACCTCTTCTTTAGCATCGTGGACCGAAAATAATTTATATATAATAACTATACAGTCTAAACTAATGAAACTTTCTGGGAATACTCTTTAGATGTTGGTGGATGTAAATATAGCATTTCTTGAAAATCAGCTTTTTCTGCAGAAATTGTTTTTTTCTGGGTAGTGTCCCCCCTTAAGAGGCCTAGCATGTTTGGAGCCTGTAATCAATAGTCGGGAATATCCTGATTTCCAAAAGTCAAAGAAAGATAGCTCAAATCGATCATGTGCACTCTGCCACACTTTACTATCCATAACTAGGGTTGCGTGTTTTTTAAAAAGATCTGATAAACTCTAAAAAAACACCTGCCGGAAAAATTTTCACTTCTGATATATCCGAAAAACTCAGGATTTCGAGGTCACAATGGCAGAGTAAAGGCTGAAAAGGACAATATTTTATGAATAATGTTCGTCAGCACAGGGCTAGTGGTCCTAAGAAAAGCCCCATTCACTTATTCTTTTTTTATCTTGGACTACTGGCAAAAGGGAGTTTCCCGTTTATCTTGTCAAGGACAAGGGGTCAATGTATTCCTGAACCACGACAAAAGCTACTTTTCCGGTTTCCAGTTTGGGCCATACTATTTGTGCTTCTTGGAGGGAGAAGGTGTTGTTTTTTTATGACGGTGAAAGATGTGAACCTGTTGGTTTTATAGAATGGGGAAGACAGCTGAAGGTTTTATGCATCCAGGAGTTTGGAAATTTCGAAGTACCGACGTCTATTGAAGTAACACTTGTTTCCAAGATTTGTCGTGGGACAGTTTACTGCCAATCGCAAGGGCACTAATGCCAAATGCAGCTGCACAAATATCTTTTGTTACCAGTGATACTTCTTAAAATTTAGTGTATGTTTTTGTTCAAACATTATTTATTTTTATTTTGAAAAAAAAAAAAAAAAAGAACAGTGAAATTAAACCGGAAATTTTGGAGCATCGGGAATCTAACAGAAATAAACTTCAAAAAACACCCCCCGAATTTCACCATAAAATGCACTCCAAAACCACAAAGAATCCTAGCTATAACATGCAAATGGAGGAAGCTGCTCAATACTGCCTGCACCACATAGTAGGTACCCCCGTGAATATTGTGTGGGAGGCAAGTGTGTGGGTCCCAATTGGTAGAAACCCTTTCCCCTGCACTAGGCATCCCTTAGATTTTGGGGGGGGGGGGGGGGGCATCTATGTGGTGCTGACGGTATGGAGGGTGAAGAGGCCACAGTTGGCATGTTCCAGGTGATGAAGTTGAATGCTATACAAACAGTGATGGAAGTGCTGCGCCAATCGCGCCAAGGACGCAATCCTGCTACATGTGGCGCCAAATTGTCATTTTACCAAAGAATTGCGCCATGCCTGCGCCAAGGTGAGATGTAGCAATAAAAAATAAAAATTGAAGTCTCATCAGAGCGCGTGGCGCTACCGTGGTATTTTCCGCGCCGCAACTGTTACGCAAACCGAAACTGCGAGGGTGCATTGTCATCATCATCATTGAAAGGAACAACGTTAGCAACATCTGAGACCAAAGCCGCAGAGGCTAAGCGAAGAACCATCCCACTGAGCAGCCTATCTTTTTTTTAAAAAGAGAAGGCCGAGCTTGTGGATGTTTTTAATGTTGGCCTGCCCTGTTCCGGTGCGCTAGCTACCAGCGAAGTCAAAGCTGGCGCAAGCCAAATGCTCTGTGCATTCCTGACTCGCGCGTGGGCTCGTGCAGTGTGGGTACCGTTATGGGCTCCATGCGTGCGCTTGTAGCTTCGACTGCGCTCGCACCAAAGCTGAAACGAAGTATAGTTGAGTTGCACCAAACTCTGGGTAAATGTAGTGTTGGTAAAGCCACACCGTTCTTTTCGGAGCACAAACCACTGTGCGACTCGCTCGACTGCGGTGTCTGCTCCGCGGGTGTCGCTTCTCTGCAGCGTGTCGGTGCATGCCAAGGAGCGCACTCAACGGGTTAACTCGCCGTGATCCGATCGTGTCTTCGGCAGCACATTGAAAATGAATCGGAATTTTTGAAGCGAATATCAGATACCGCAATATTTGAAGCTGTTGCCCGAAAGACAACTCTAATCTGAACTAAAACATTCCACAACAGTGAGGGTCGTTAGATGCTGCTGCAGATACCTTAAAAGAAGGGCAGGCTGATAAGACTAAATATCCTGTACCATCAGAACTCAGTGTGACATATTTAATCGCATTTTTTTATCTGACGAGCAGATAGACTTTATTTTTAAAAAAAAGTTATTTTTTTGTGTTTACTTTGTTGAATTTTATATATCCTGTCTTCAAAAGGCGACAGGCGCTGTGTTCCAATAATAGAGATGGGCTTTATATAGCAATGCAGCATTATTTCATTTTCAAGTAATATGCCAACATATGACGAACCCTGCTCCAAAAGGGCCACTACCTGCTCCAAAACATTTTGCCTGCTACAAGGCCTGCTCCAAAAGGTCACATGGCACTTCCAGCACTGCACAAATGACAACATCCATTAGTCCATTCATAGTCTGCTGTATGCCGTGCACATGGAATTTTTGAAACCACACTTCATTTGCGAGCAGGGCAGCAGAATTTTAGTTTGAACCGACATTTCACTCTAGTCACTGTAGGGCGCTAGACAGATCTATGGTCGCATGTTGTGATGCATTATACAGTGCTTTGGGAAGATTATCGTTCCCAGCACATTGCTGACCATATGCGCTCATATGTCATATTGAGGGATAATTATTTTTTTCTTCTTTCCTCATGAAGCAAGTGGTGGCACAAAGTACAGCGTGAAGCAAAGTGATCAGTGGCTGCTTGAAGGGACCGCTTAAATCTGTTTCTGAACATTTAGAGCTAAGATTTTGCACAGAGGTGGCCGAAGAACGTGCATTAAGGCTATAAACATTTCTCCGAACATACTTAGCTGAGTAAAAAGTTGTAAATAAAAAGGCTCAAGGTACACCTAAGCACCTCTTATGAGTTGTGAATGCAAAAGCATGCACGTCATTTTTCCTGTCCCTTATTTCGTCTGCAGCGTATTTGCGTCGACGTCGCAGCGCGCCGTCTCGCCGCTCTGACCTTGTACATTTTGTGTTACCGGCGCGCTGACGGACACGCAGCGCCATGGGGATGGCGGTCGTTGAAACTGATGTGCAGCGGCCAATAAGAGCCTCATCGACGCGCGCCAGCCAATGGGACCGAAGCCGAAATCCGTCAGCTTTACTCTGCTTCTTTGGGATCGGGGAAAGTGGGTGCCGTTTGGCTAGGCTTTTCGCGTGGTTTCATAGCTGGGAGCTGGCTTCACTTGGAGAAAGCATTTAAGGTGCCTTTTGGCACGGCTTCAAAGCTGATGACGTTGACTCGCACCATGGGACAGTTAATACTTTCCCATTAAAGGCTTAAAATCCCTACCTTCGGCTCCTATGTGCTAACCAAAGGCATCTGATTGGTGCAACAGCTGATAGATGTCGGTAGTACTCCCCGCATCGACAGGTGGGATTCGGCAGCGAAGGCACCGAGTACCGCATTTTAACGTGAAACATTCTTTGGCTAGGTGTTTGGCATCCATGAAGCCCAAAAGTGAAGCCTGGATAGAAGCATGGCCGCGAGGCTCGACACTGATGAATTTTGAGTGAGGGGCGGGAAAAAGAGAACATCGCACTATAGAAGTGTTTGCACCAGGCGGGAATCGAACCCAGACCCTTTAAATTATTAATTAAGCGAGTGTCTTTCCAGCATGTCATGACACATCACCGTGAGTTGAGGTGCCATTTTGCGGGAAAGCCCTGCGGGGCATCCGCTCTGCGTCCAGCAGATAGCAACTTGACTCCCTGTCACACATCTTTAAAACCCGGGTTAGTGTGTATCTCCATTCCAGGTATTGATATCCAGTGTACATACCACTCGTTAAGCAAGTCACTGAACTAACTGATGAAGAGCGTCGAGAGCGTAGACCCCACATATCTTGGGTAACACAGTTGTCCAGTCATTTGCTATGCATTTTTTTTAGCGTCAGCTTCGCTGGTGTAATCACTGTTGTCGATGGCTTGTTTTGGAGGTTTCCTTCCTCGCTGAGACGTGCTTCTCCCAGCGTATAAATTGTAAGGGAGCCCGGAGGTTTTTGGCTGAATACGTCGGTGGACCTCTTTTGTCCTCTGGCACTCCCTGTACCAGAGAACAACCTTTACTTGCTCGTTGGGAGCTAAGTGTACTTTGAAGATGACTTACACCCCAAAACAGCACGGATGAAAGTTGCAGGCAAGAAGAGAGGTGCAAAGCAGACGGTGACGTGTAGCTTAAAATAATTGTCGAAGGAAACGAGACAACAGATCTGTTTTGTTGTTCTTCTTGGGTTGCCAAAGGCATGGTAGCGCTTTTTTGGACGAGGACAAAAGAAAGAAAGACAAGACAGACACGAGCGCTCGTGTCTGTCTTGTCTTTCTTTCTTTTGTCCTCGTCCAAAAAAGCGCTACCATGCCTTTGGCAACCCAAGACCAATACCAACTAGCCCAACATACAGCTTTGTTGTTCTTGTTTTATCTTTATTTTTAAATATTTAATCGGTGGAATAAAATAGTCATGTGCTGACAATTCCTGCAGAAAAACAGCGCATCGCTTCTGGCTCAGGAACGTCGTCTGCTATTGCGGAGGTCGAAGGAAGCGCCCGTCTTGGCCGCCTGCAATCTTAAGTTCAGCCATCTGTTGGCTGTTGTGCCAATCAGACTACTTTTGTTAGCAGACAACCACCGTAGGTAGGGATTTCAAACAGCCATCGATCCCTTTGCTTCACGCTGTAATAGCTAATTCAGTTACATCAGATGTCCATTGACTTCCTTACAGTGCATTTATTTGTTATGTTTCAAAGTGTCTCGTGCAATATTCAAGACAGTCTGCCCTTCCTTACTTCTTTTGTTGCCCGATATTTCAGTTTGGCGATTCCGGACTGAAGCTAATCTCGGAGCACCTCCCGAAACTTCAAGTTCTGAACCTGTGTGAAACTCCAGTCACTGATAAAGGGCTTACCTCACTTGAATGTAAGTTGTAGCCCTCGACTCCTTGTTCCAGCAGACTACAGTAAGATCCCGAGTGACGGCCCACCCCTGCCATTTTCTTTTCTTAGAAAAACACCGAAAGATAGCCCACCCCTAGAAATCACACTATCTGGGGTTCAGTTGATTTTTGCAATGCTGTAGGCAATATGAATTTCAACAATGATAGCATTTGTTCATTTGACAACTTGGGAGGCAATTGAATATACAGAGCTCATCCTTCGTCTTTTGCAAAACATAATAATTGTGGCATGGTCCAGGGCAACTGATATAGACACGAGTGGACAAGGAACTTACTCTAGCATTTCTATCGGCTATTTTTGGGTCATGCACTAAAAGATAGCCCACTTATGTTTTCCACGCGTGTGGCCTCCGGAGGAAAGTTGGGCTTCTTTTGGGGGTATTACGGTACTGCTTTCTAATCGGCTGTTTGCAGCATTTAGTGGGCTTTGCTTCAAATCATTTTTGTTCTGTTGTGTCTGTCCACAGCTATGAAAAGTTTACGGAAGTTGAATCTGAACAGCACCAGTCTCTCTGCACAAACATTTGAGTGTCTAAAGGTGAGTAAAAATCCAGCATCCTAAGTTTTTTAGTTTTCTTTAGTCGTATTTTAGCTAGAAAATGTGCATGCCATACAGGTATGTAAGTTTAAAGCACAAATTATTCAAGCACTGCACTCAACACCTGGTTGCCCGATTTACAGGATGGGCCCACTTATACATTTTTAAACCTAATTAATCTTGCAGAGTGTTTAGCCTCAACATTGAAAGCTGTACTAGAAATTCAATTCTGAGTATCAGCAGGCTCGAAAAGGAAATTCCAATTAGATTAAATGTGGGTGTTTCTTGTGTGCTTTTCACAATTCCCACGACAAACAATAGGTGTACTTCACTTGCCTGCAAATTAATTTTCTGGTGCCATTTTTTTCCCAGGAAAAGTTGCCTGCATTGCAAGAGTGTGATGTTCGCTACACTGATGCCTGGTAGAGGGTTACCAGGGTCAACATCTGAGAGAGAATCTTCATTCATCTGTTTGCCACCGTCCTGTATTGAAATTTTTCCATTCACTTTTTTTATGCTCTCCATTTGACTTGTTTCTCATTTCACAAAAACTTATAGCCCAAGTAGTCCAGGTAATAGCTCAGTGCTTTCCCTATGGATACTGTTTTGCTTTTTTAATTCTTGACATTCCTCCATCTTCTGATACCTGTGTGCTTGCACTGTGATGAGGAGAGCATGCTTATTTTTTCAACTGCACTGGTTTCATAAGATATAAAAAGGAGTAGGAAAGGTTTTGGAGGCCTTTTGTCTCGGGCATTTTGGAAGCCTCATATTTTGTTTTGTTTTATATGATGGGCTAGAAAAGAATAGCAGAAATATACTAGCCTATCCAAGTTTGGTTGGTTGCTTGGGTAAAGTTCCTTTGTTTGCATTTGACTATTATTTATTATATTTATTTTACCAATTAAGGTTTGCTGATGTAATACACAAACACGACTAGGCTGTTGCCTGTTTTGTTTGAAGCATTTACATATTTGCAGTGTGTGTTTTGCGCTCAACTCATGCAGTGCATGCGCTTTAGTTTTTTTGTTTTTTTTTATGTGATGTGTTTCATTGCTGGTAACATTGAAATCCAACTTTTAGTGGTGCTTATGTTTTCTTTTTCCACAAATATATAAGTGTTCCTGAGTATGGTGAGCTTACAATGCCCCTGTGCTTCTTTGAAAATGGTGGACCATCTCTCTTTTGTATTTAGCCGGAGATGATGGCAGAGCTTGTAATGGCACATATTTACTAAATCCAATGTGCTCCCTGGCCCCTTCTGCTTATCTGCTCGGACAAATCACTTGTGGGGGTGCCCCCCCATTATGCGCGCCGACATTTAGCCACTTCCTAGGAGCGGAGGCTGTATATTGCCCCATTTGTTTAGAGTGCATACTGTACTGATAACTTGGCTCTACTAAGTTAGCTTCGATGCTAGTGACACGTGGCAAGAGAAATTGTTTAATTTTTTTCTTGATACATGGTATACTCGTGCTTTGTGCAGCTATGGCCTGGCGCCCATTTGCACATTGAAAAGCGCATTCTTGCACGGTGAAAAGAAAGCAAGAGTTCTCTGGAATAAGAATGTGCCTATTGTTTGCTGGTAGTGATCCCTCATTGATCACTATAGGAAGCTGATTCAGGCTTTGGAAGTAGAGCTGGAAACTCATCTTGTTTGCTCACAGTAGTGTGCTGTATTTTTGCAGTGAAGATGCCCGTTTTGAAGCTTGTCACATCTGATCAAGCAACAGTACAACCACAATAACTTACATCTCTCCTCGATGCTGATATAACAAGTGACTGGCTTGTGCAAGACTGAGTGCCACATAAGCGAGTGAAAATTAAAGAATATATTTTGAGCGGTTTCACTCTGGCAGTGCGCCAGCCAAAGTGCATCATGCAAGCTGTGCCCGCTGACATTTTTCTACTATGCCAACATGATGTGTCGATGTAATGCAGGAAGCCAACTTCCACATGAGCTGCAGTGTCCATGCCTCGGTTTAGGACAGGCCTGCTCAGTGTGTGGTACAAACTGATGAGCTTCTTTTTTGAAAGGTGTCTGGGGTCGTCAGGTTGTGCGCTTCTCTCTGAGCTTGCACAGGACAGTTGTAGCTATCGTATGAAACACAGCTGTATGCTTGTGTTGCTAAATACAGTACAAAGTAGAGTACATTCACCCTATAATGGACGCAACTTTCTGCCACAGTATTGCTTTTGGAAATATCCAGTGGTACAGCTTTGGGATAAATTAGTTTGTCAGTTGAATCGTGACATTTGGTTTTGGAGCACCTCAAGCAAATCAAGGTACAAATTATTTTGACTTTGGGGCACTAAATCGTGGATTAGAAAATATTGGGGTTTTTTTTTAGGACAAATCATTATGCCTGATCTGGTAATACTTGGGAGATTGGCATACCGCTTGAGTGATTTTGTATGAATTGGCGACTGGGGACCCTGGTCAGACCCTGGGCTGGTCTGACCAGTGCAAGACCTTGTCTGTCTGGCGTTGGGTGTAATTGCCCTTGGCAAGCAACAAAGAAACGGCAGCACCAAACAAAGCTGATCTGGTGCAGTTGTGTCGAAAGTTTTGCCTTAGCAAGCAACGTACAAACCGTCGGACTGTGCTTACAGTGCATATCTGCTGGTGCACTGTATACACACTAACATATGTAAGCCTACTTATTTCTCCCTCTCTAGTGTAGCTTATTCTTGTGCAGTGTAAGTTTTGGTGTGCCGTTAATTTTGTGGTGCGCTTTCCCCGACCTTCCAATATCAACAAGTTCAAGACTTATCACCTGAACAGCACAAATGCAGGAAAATCTTCTGCTCTCGAGTGCTAGCTCACTTGACACAAAGATTCAACGTACAAATTACAAATGGTGAAGTTAGTGAATTCAAAGTGTGCATCTTGCAGGCTTAGCTTTTCCTGTACAAATGTTTAAATAGCAGTGTCGGCACCTAGCACTCTACTTAGCGAAACGTTGGCTGCCATATAGCTTGCACTTTGGTTGCGTGTCTGTTGGCTTCCTTTCTTGACTTGCCATCGTCCGCAGGACAGTTGCAACGGGAAGCCCAAGAACCGGTTTCCTGGGTTTCTTTCAGCAAAATGAGAAGAGTATCGAGTCTTAAATATCAACAAATAAAGTAGCATAGATATAATCAAGAAGTACATAGTTATGTGCAGCATTTAATTGTTGCCTGTTCATCTATGAAAAGGTCCTCTTTGCTATGGTGATGTGCAATTAATAGAATGTTTTGTCATTTCAGCTCTGTTTTCTGTTCAACCTTGAACTACCTAAGGCTGAAGTTACTGTATCAATGTGGTTCATTACATATGTATTTATAATTGAAACAAAAAAAAAAAATCTGTGGTTTCAGAGTTGTGTGTTAGTGTTCCGAGTTGCAAAGAGTCAACAGATGTGGTATTTTCTTATATAATGTCCCCTCTCAATATGTTCTCCCTGCTCTATGATCTCCACAACTAAACTCTTTATTTTTTCAAGTGACCATAATATTGCATCACTTGTATTGCTGAATTAAAGAATGTGTTCAAGTTCAGTCATTTGTGTATCGTGCTTGAAAGGGTGAAAAACAAAACTATTTTCAAAGCCCTGGCCCCTGGGGTTTCCATGGTGTAGTGTGGGGCTGGCCAAATTGTGAATTGTCTTGTGTCAACAAGCAGCCTCCAAACAACTTTGTCCTTGAAAATGTTGCAACAGACAAATTTCTGGTTTTTGAAATATGGCGTGCATGGTGTCAAACAAATGCTGCAATGCAGCATTGTGTTTATAGAGAGTTGGCTCTAATTGCATTGTTATGAAAAAAGCGGGTAGATCTTGTAAGTCACTCGGTATTTTTTTTGTATATCGCAGGAATTTCTTCGTGTATGCTTCGCGTTGAAGCAGATTTGCAAGTTTTTGGGAAAGTCGTAGGGTAGGTCATTTCTAAGCTCTCCTCGCTTCATAAAAATTATGCCTTGGAGAGTGCACTTGTGGGTAACAAGGGGTATCTGCCTCTAGGGTCTATCATTTTGTGGGAATATAGTTTTTGGACAACTTTTTATGGAAATATGTTTTGTTGACACTGATGTTTCGTGGACGCATGCTCCTGCAATATTTTGTCAACATTTTATTTTAGCTGGTAGATTGGACTGAGTTACTGACTATTACATTAGCTGGAAGCATAATGTACTGCAGCGGAATTGCCCAGGCGGCTCCAATAGGGCAGAAGCGAAATTGCAAACCCCAATTCTAGGCTTCCAAACAAATCAAGCTATGCGTGTTCACCTCTCGCTTTGCTTCACTCGCTCGAGGGAATCTCGGGTCCGACCTTGCACCATGGCTCATCAGAACTGCCAAGGGTTTGGCAAGCTCGGCTACTATCCAGATGCTGGCAATGAAGGTGATGTGCACGAAAAACTCTTTCGATTTGACACTGCGACATTTCTATTGAAATGTTGCAGTTTCGAGGAAACAATCTGTCAATGAAATGTTCGACAAACTATTGCTATTGCTACCTTTAATTTTTTAACCTCGGATTTTATGCCTGCTAAAGGTTCTGTGCAGTGTTCTCCATAATTGTGGAGTTCACGTCCTAAAGTATACACTGCCCATTAAAACAGTTCCTTGATGCAGTCGTGAATTCATTGAAGGTCAACTTTGTGCAATTTTGTGAAACTTTGATTCCACTGGGTCCAGACATTTCATGGAAGGCCATTTCGTCGAATGCCATTTCATCAAACGCCGATTCATGGAATGCCATTCGTAGCATCACAAACGTTTAGTGATACTCTCACAGGCACTCTTCATTAGATAAACTAGTTTACCATGCAGATACCGCGTGTATACTTGATAGTTGAGTCTAGGCGATCTTCCATACTCTCGAGCTCCTCTACCTCACTCCCTCAGTGTGCACAGGTGGTCGAGCACCTCACCTACACGTCTGGTCACGTGACCTCCCCCATTAACCAATCGGCATCGAGCTTCGTGGCCACGCTTATCAGCCCAAAGTAAATTGTGGTAGCAAAAATGTAACAGCACAAAGCGAAAAGAACCCCTAGTTAATTTTGGTAGCAAACCTGCATAAGTAACGCTCCCAAAATCGGCAGTGCGGAAGCTGATGAAACGGCATCGAACGATTCGATAAACGGTGTTCGACGAAACCGATGAAACGAAAATAAACGAAGGAAAGGCGATCGTCCGATCGCGGAAAACAAAAATTAGCCGCGGAGGAAAACAAAAATGCTCCGCATGACCAGTATTTATGCCTCCATTTAGACAAGTTTATGAAAACTGATTAATTTGCCATATTTAATAAATCAAACTATCAATTAGTAGGTAGTTTTATTCAACAAGCTCGTTGGTTTTATTTATTAAAAAAAAAAGCGACAGTACTAAAGCGCCCCCTATAGCATCTGATATAATGAACTATTATGTCAGCCATGCTGCTTGTCAGTGCATTACTGCTTCGGTGAACTTGTATCCTGCGCTTGTTCTGCGTTTATTTGTTTTGCGCTTCTCTTATTTGACTTAGGTAGTGGTGGTGGTGGTGGTGTGTGATCCAACGCATTGACATATCATGCGAGACCAGCTACTGTCTGTGTTTTTTGCCACTCCGGGGGTCGTGGTGTATAAAGTTCATTGAACCAAACGTAGCCACGGAGTTCGCGACATCTTTTACTGGTAAGGATTTGCAAGAGCATTTGCAGCTGAGCAGTCAAGCAGATAATAAGCATTCGTGACAAAGCAAAGTGTAATTGTATTGTAAAACAGGGATCAAATGTCGGGAACGTGTCTCGGCTGACCCTAACTGTTCTTTTTTTTTGTTTTGTTTATGTACGCAATTTTTTACCTTCGCGATCGATTCGTCGTGTGTCATTTCGTAGCGCGACTTGAAAAAAGAAAAATAAATCTTTTCCTTACTGGAATAATCCGTCAGCGAACTTTCAACGATACGTTTCAGCGTCCGTGTGTCGATCTGTGTTAACATAACGAGTATCGTACTGAGTCTTGCAGCTTTCAGACCAGCCGCTCGCAAGTCCCTTAGTAATACTGACTTGATCAGAAATGCGCAGCTTTTATCGCACGAAAGTGCTGTCTGTTTAACATTACCATGAAGTTAAACCGCATGTAAGCGATTTGGCGAGCGACGAGACAAGCGACGGCGACCCGCTTCGCTGTCGCTCGGTCCATGAAAACTACGGGAGCAAGCGACCAAGGCGATGAGTGAAACGTTTTCTAGAAATCCCGAAACCGGGCGACGCGAGAAGCGACAGTGAGAAATCTCCGTCGCTCGTCGCTGACCTGTCGCTCGTCTCGTCGCAATAAGCAGGGAACACATGAGCGACCAAAACGGGCACCGCGCGGCAGTTTCCACGGCAACTTGCGCGCACGCTGTGACGTGCGGCCTGGCATAGGTCCACAACACAGCGTCTTGGGCTGTTGCTATGTTAATCGGCGCGCGGCGCCCGTTTTTGCCGCTGATGTGTTCCCCGCAGGCGGTTCAGCTGCGAGCGACGGAGATATCTCGGTGTCGCTCGTCGCGTCGCTCGGTTTTTGGAATTCTAGAGAACGTCTCTCATCACCTTGGTCACTTGCTGCCTTCGTTTTCATGCGTCTTAATTACAAAAGCGCAAAGGACAAGATGCTTATCCAACTAGCCCAACAGTTAATTTTAATTCAATAGCTTTCGTGCAGTTTGCCTCGTCGCGCGACTGACCGAGAGTCAGCGAAGCGGGTTGCCGTCGCTTGTCTCTTTGCTCGCCAAATAGCTTACATACGGTGTGACTGCGGAACTGTCTGTTCAGCACTGACTGCAATAGCACTGGCTTAGAGCAAGACGTCATTAAGTGATGACTAGGCATTGAAAGCATATTATGGCGTAACTTGTTGACTTCTGCTGTAGTGCGCACAGGCTGACAGCCCTGATAGACCCCCCAAAACAAAATTAAAATGTAAAATTGTATGGACATGCAGACCGTAGGAAGTTTGCAGTGCACCTGCCAATCACTCTTAATTAACATGCACCACCCAGTAGCGGTTACACGAGCTCACGCCGGTACGATGCTCATCCAGATTGAAACATACTGGGTTGACTATTGAGCTTTTGCTCTATGTGCTCCAAAGTACTGTGCACTAACCTACTCTACCACTGATCCCCTGTGATTCCGCAGGCTTGAATCCGGTCCATGCCGGGAGAGCATGTCTTCGCATGTCAAGCGTGAGACCGGCTACCGGCCCTCTGACCCGGAATGGGAGGCCAAGGAAGAGCTGCGTCTGCGGGAGCTGGAAGAGGCCCGTGCCAGAGCTGCCCAGATGGAGAAGACTATGCGCTGGTGTGGACTTTTCTCCCTTTGGGGATGCCTGTCAGTCTCTACAGATGGCTTTTTTTTTTTAAGACCTGGTTCACCTAAAGTTTCTCGCAGGGATGGGCAAAATACTTCCAGAAATGTATCGAAATACAAACATAAAATACTTCTACAAGAATGTATTTAATTACAAGTCCATTGCACTTTTTAGAAAAGTATTGAAGTACAAGATAAAAATGAGAAAGCATTTGATCATCTTCAAATACTTTTACGAATACATTTTGTTCCCATAGTCTGACATCTTAGACTTAAATTTAATTCCGGGTAAAAAAAGACTGCCCAAATATCGAGTGGAGTTTATATATAGGGTATCTGAAGTCACCAGACTCTATCTAAAATGGGCTGTAATAGTTGACATTTGCACGAAGCAGTCTAAACCTTTCGTCAAAGGTGTATTTTACAGGCCCGATGTTTCTTGCAGATTTACAAAACTTAGCTCTCGTTCTGTAGAAAATAGGGCCAAAAATTGCCAGGGTCAATGGTGGGTGGCAACGTAGACGACTGAGATGAGCGGCGGGGCGAGTTTGGCGCACATATTGATAGATGGCGTCACAAGAGGCACGTGCCACGTGCCTCTGAAATCTGGCCCAGTGCTGCGCTGTGTCGCCATGATCTTCCCAAGGGCTGCATGTTGCACGTGCCTCGTGCATCGACGAACCTTGCGCTACTTTGGAAAAATGAAGGGGCTTTACGGTCGGAAGGTTTAGCCGACCAGCGAAAGAAAGCAGACGACACGCAGACAAACTTTGTCAGTAGCAAGAACTTCTTCGTTATGTAACCACATTTGTTTTGTTTTTTTGTTTTATTAACTTCAAGCTTTGCTTTTAGTTTCCGCATTTATTTTTAAACCAAAGGTACACTACAAAAAGATTATCTTCATTTGAGTAAATCACGGTCGTCGCGAGCTGTCTTGATAAGGAGGTAGCACCATCTATCAAGGGTGCGCCAAACGTGCCTTGCCGCTCGACTCTGTCATCTGCGTCGCCGTCTGCCGTTGACCCTGGCAAGTGTTTTGGCCCTATTTGTAACAGAAAGAGAGCTACGCTTTGTAATTTTACAAGAAAAAACGGACCTGTGAAGTGCACCTTTGACGAAATGTTTAGATTGCTCCAAGCAGGCGTCAATTTTTACTGTCCATTTTAGATAGAGCCTGGTGACTTCAGACACCCTACATATATACCAAGAGTCAAACGCTGAAGAAAGTTGCAGCTCTAAAAAAAATTTGTTTGTCATAAGATATAGGCAGGTACAATATCAGGAAACACAATGCATTCTGTATGAGTTTAATCTGGATTGCTCAGTTCAAGCAATAAAGCCTTTTCAAACAACATGTCGTTAATGCAAAGTCTAAAAAATTAAATCGGCCAACCAAAAAGCCAATAATTGTACCCACTCCGTTCATTCCCTGTTCTCTTTCTTTTTTTCTTCCATGCTTATTATGAGCAAAGCACTACAAGTTTCATGCTCTTTGTATATGACTCCCATCATGAAGAGTGCATAACATCACATTCGATTGCAGAGAACGATGTCAGAAATTGTATTTGGGCAGTATTTGAAATACCGTATAAACCAGAATGTAGGTTGAATTTATTTTTGAAAATGGACCTGAAAAAGTCGACCCTCGTCTTATATACCGGTCATTAGGGGAAAAACTAAAATAATCTCGCGTCTCTGGGTGGCTGAAGCCGCCATCTAGTTTTTTTTGCAATCGCCTAGCGCTTGTTCACTTGTCACGATGGTCATAATTCACTTCTGCTCGTTGGTTTGAGAAGTAATGCTCGCACACTTCATGTTTTATTGCTTGCGAAGCAATTAAACTGATGTACCGTGTTTCCTCGTCCTTCCATATACTTGGCCAATTTTGTTACCAGGGTAAGGGTGCATTTTCTTGCCATAAAAACTTTTTTTCGCTTTTTGCAACATGTAAATTAGGGAATCCACCTATATTCTGGTTCACCCTATACTCCAGTTTATACGGTACTCAATTTTCAGTATTTATTGACAAATGCTTTAGCCACTATGTTATTAAATATGAAGCACAAAATACTCAAAGTATTTTAAATACATATTTCAAATACCGTAATTTTCTAACTATAGTCCGCGGACTATACATGTTTAAAATTTGAAACTTTGCCCGATACGGACAATCTACAGGTGCGGACTGTACAAGTATTTGTTTTTTTCTAGATTGTTTACTGTGACAAGATGGGAAGGATTTTATGAAGGACAGAGTATGTTAATGTTGATTTATGTACGATACAAGCTTCTCTGTGAGCTAATACAGCAGGCATTTGTCAAGGTAGGCTGCATATGATAATTTTTACGTTTGGGCTAGGCATGAAGTGCGGACTATACACCGGGTGCAGACTATCTAAGCAAAAACTTATTTTTGACCTCAAATTTGCACCTGCGGACTATGCACCAGAAGATGCGATAGTTGTATTTGGAATACTGCCTATCCCTGGTTCCTCCGACAACCAACCTGCATAACTACTAACCACATTTTGTGGGAAGAAAATGGCCTCTTTCACTTCTTTCAATTCATTCTTTTGCCATGCGTCGCCATCTGCTTCCTAAATCCTGCACTGTCACATCATTGATGCCTCAGAAAATGTTGTTATTTTGTAAGAAGCACGGAATATGATTTTATCTGGGGCCTTTTGGCTTACTCAGTGGGTTTGGCTCTGTATACTTCCGTTTCATCATAACATGTCAAACAACAAAAGCTACGGCCCCAGCGAGCCAATTGGAGAATCAGAGTGAGGCACATGACACCGGTATCGTTGCAGTGCACTCTGCCTGTGGACAGTGCATGTGGAAGCAAGTGGAACACAGTATGTGCTCCACTTATGGAGCAGAGTAGCGCAATGGTCTTCCATTTTGATCTCCAAGTATTGCGGAGTGTGATCATTGCTCTTTCAAGAGACGCAGCAGCATCCAACGTTGGCACGGAGTGTGCCGGTGGTAACCCTCTCCCTCAGAAGTGTGCAAGTGCACCCTGCAAGTGCTTTGGATTATTTTGTGCCTGTGTCTTCTTCTGGAGTTGGTGGTGAAAGGAGAAGGAATGCGCTACTCTAGCTGGCTTCACTCCGTCGCTCTGATTGGCTCAAGGACGCCTTAGCTTTTGCCATTTGACAAGTTATGCTGAAACAGAGTATAGACTATAAAGCTTTCGGCTTCTTTGCACTCAGCTACTGTCTCATGATCTGTTGCGTTTTGTCATGATAAGTCAAATGGCAGGTGAGTCTAGGATGCATGGTGCTTTCATACTTTAGGTGGTCGGACTGCACAGCCAACTGGCGTGAGAAGTGGAGCAAGGTGCGCACAGAACGCAACAAAGCGCGGGAGGATGTGCGCCTGCTTCGAGGGAGGGTGGACGCAGCCACCAAGGAGGCAGCAGCCCTCAAGCGCGATAAGCAAGAGCTGGAGGCCGAGGTGGACCAGCTGCGCCGAGAACTTGATTACCTCAGGTGGGGGCTAATTAATCCTTTGTTCTATTTTTTTGTGGATGGTATATTATTGATTTATTTTTATGTTTTTCCTCTTTAGAAGAATTGCATAAGGTACCAACGTGTGCTGTACACTTGAAACGAACGTGCACTGTTTTGGGCAGGCCCTTCAGCTGTTCTTTCTGTTTTCCCCATCCCTGGCCAGAATCGCCGACGATCCTCCGAGTGTGGACCACGAGGTGCAGCTTTCGTCGACGGCTTCTTCGGCCACCCATGCCGAGTTGGAGCACCTGGAGAAGCTGCTAGACGCGGAGGCCACCAACGGACTCCTGTCCCAGAGGGACCCTGAGCAGACGGATCAGCGGACACCGCTGCTGCAGCTGCGGCTGGATGAGGCGGCCAAGCTACTTCTGGCAGAGAGGCAGTGAGTGGTCCTTGCATTCATTTACTCGTGCTCATTTTGAAATAGTGAAGCGCAGCCTCATGAATTTGGTAAACCCGGTTAGGAGTGTCGATGCCTTGCCGCAGCCCCTTGGAGTGGCTATGATTCGTTTGTGAAACAGAGTGTGTTCTATCTGTCCAGGAATATGAATGTTACTTTGTGTTGTGCATTGTGCGAGAGTATTTGCGACATGTATATCGTTGGAATGTTAAAATATAATGGTTGCGGGTTTGCGGGTGATAACTTTGGATAAAAATTGTAAATGTATTTTTACTTCAAGAAACACTGCACACTCAAGGCATACTTTTTCTTAAAACTACCTGGATAGGGCATGTATGTCACAATACATCTCCCCTCCCCCCCTCCCCGAGAAAAGAAGAAAGTGAATGCAATATTTACTCAACTAGATGCATTTCGGGTATGGAGCGATTTCCTCTGCTCGTTCGCGTTGTTTAGAAAATGACTTCTATTTTGAGGCCAACGTCACTGTGATGTCAAAACAGGAGTCATTTTATGAGCCACCCATTGGCTGGAAAAGAAAGAAGGATATGGTCACTGTGTCTTGACCTCTTAAAATTTCTTCATATGCTGTGAAAAGACGCAAGAGAAAGGTGGAGAATAGAATTGGCCCACACGCTCCATCCACAGCTCCATCTGAATTGCATTTCGTGGTGTGAATATTGCATTAGCAGTTGATTTTGTTTTTCGGAGAAAAATAATTTTGTGGCGTATGTGGCCTATCTATGCAGTTTATTAAATGTAATGTTTTTGATTATGCAGAGTTATTTTGGAGGGAGCATCAGTATTTTTCTCAAAATTTCCAAATTGTGCAGCTATTAAATGAGCCAATTGATTCTCTCAGTTGGTTTCACATGAATGAAAAAAATTAATTTTTTTCTGAGACAAAACAAATGAAGAAAGCTTGGATTATTAGATTTAAATTTTACAGCAAACTTTCAATGGTCTGTAAAATAATAAGCCTTTATTAGAAACTCCAACAATGTTTTTCCAATAAAAACTGCATTGCAATCTTCTTGTGATGAAAGGAAGCTGATCAATGAGTCGGGTGATGTGTCTGTGAGTTACGGCTACCTTGAACATTTTCCGTTGCGGATGTATTGAGCACCCACCATCAGTTGATATGCATAGCTTATCTCGGAATTTTGTAATGGTGTTGGCCTCGAGATAGGCCTGAAACCCTGTCTCGGCAGCACACCAGAGATAAGGTGGATTTCCTTCCGAGCAAGTTTGAGAGTTCTGCAGTCATTGCGTGTGGGCAAATTATCACGTGGTATTCTTTTTTAGGTTGGAAAAAAGGAGCTCGTAAGGCGTACCATGTAGCAAACGCCTAATTTGGGGTTCCTTAGGGTATTCTACAACTTTCCAGTTTTAAAGTTAGCTAATTAGTTTTAACTAATTAATTAATTAGGCCCAATAAAATAAATACACTTTCGCGAGACACTCGCTGAGAACATATATAGTTTGTTTCATTCACGTGAAGTGCTCCGTCTTGTTTTTAAAGGTTTGTGCGTGTCACTTGGGGCACCTTCTATGTATGTTTCATTGCTTTAAATGCCCCCCCCCCCCCCCCCCCCCCCCCCCCCCCAAAAGAAAATATTATGTCAACTTTGTTTTTTGTTTGTTCTGTCGTTTAGGGAAAAAAACCAGCTGGCCAAAATGCTCGAAAAACAGGCGACAGAACTGGGCCAGCTCAAAGCCAAATATGATGAATTGCGGAAGTCCCGGCAGGACACCTTGAAGGAGGTAACGGTCTTTGCCCGAAAAATATGGGGGCTTTCTAGGTTTCTGCTAAGTCCACTGACACAACAGGGAGAAACCTCTGCCGCCTCCAGCGCGAGCTTGTTACCTTCGGCAACGCTTCGGCGTCTCGTGCACCTCGAGCGCATGTGCACAGCCAAGGCACAACGCAAGGCATGGAGCACATGCTGGAGGCCGGGCATTTGAAAGACACATCCTGCCGTTCTCATTCTGTCCATGACTACACTTCATTTTATCTCGTGTTGAGCCGCAGCGGAAGGCTAGGGGCCTTCACATCCAATCAAGCACCAGATTAGAAGCGACGTTCCCTGGCTCCTTTGGTCTGTATCGACGCGCGAGTTAAAATGGCGCTCTTGGAAGTCTGGCGTGGACGCGGTGCAGATGAAGCGTTTTTGCTTGCTGTGTTCGAGAAAATTCTTACTTCGTACACTTCGCTTGATTTACTGCTCAAGTTCGGCATCTTTTCGGTTATCATGGCTAAAATCTCTTGACGTACTGAAGTTGATGTGCGGCTTTGCAGTCTCCATTTTGTGAGTGGGATTGGCGGGACGGTACCTACGGCACCGACGTAGAGGTCTTGTGCGTAGAGCGGAAGCAGGGTCCGCAGAAACTTTGCTTCACTACTTGTGCCACACACGGAAAATGAGAGTCTTTTCCGTCGCGCAACGGACCGGGTAGGCCTGGAAAATAGAACATTGACTCCAACCTAACACCCTTGCAGAATGTCTCACCTGCATGGACTCGCAGGGCAGGGCTCATGTGTTGGATTTGAAAGTGCCAATACCGACTAATAACACTATGCTACAGAGAGCTGTTGGGAGGTGACTGACGAAGTACACGCGGCGGAACAAAGTTATTTTGTCCTTTTTGCGATGGCTATAAAGGCATCTGGCACTGACAAATGAACATCTTTTTACTGGCGACACAATGCCACTGGCTCTTTTTTTTTCGCATTCACCACAGCTCGAACATTCTTTGAATAATTGCTTTGTACGACTCGCTTGAAGGCTCAGAACGAAGTTTGCAGGACACGTTGAGCACGATTTGCCGTGCATCTCTTCTATATGCAGATTTTTTGTTAAATTGTCTTTAAGCAAAGAAACACAAGAGCCCCTCATGGAGATGGACGTGCCATTCTATGGCCATTACGTCGAACAAAAGCGAGAGTGCAGTTGGCACAGTTACATATGTCAGGTGACATTTTAAACAGACTGCAAGGTCGTTTTAAAGTTCAAATTATATGTTCCAATAATCTTTCTCAGGTTCAGTTTGTACATAATAACATTTAAATAGAATACTTTCATTCTGAAGAAATCTTCCTTTGCAGTACGTCATATCGGCCATGGTGCGATAAATGTTGAATAAACTAACGTGACAGCAACGACAACGTTGCCAACCAGAAGTCTAGTTTCTCCAAGCATGCTACCTATTTATGTATTAAATACCATGTACGAGAGCTTCATTAAAACATAAATTATGTATCACGGGTGCAAAACACAAACCTTACGTTCAGGACAAAGGCTACGCGCTTTGTACTATCAAAGTCTTTGACGCACTACTGCGTCAAAGACTTTGGTTCTCAAAGGGTTCTCAATGTATCGCGCTGGGATTTACTACAGAGGTGCCCGAAGGTAGTGCATTCATTAATTGAGAGTATGAATACATGAGACCTCCAGAGTCAAAAGAAAGAAAATAAAAACTGGTTTTGTCTATGCAAAAATTATCACTAAACTTTTTTTACTCAAAATCGTAAAAAAAAAAATCATTCTGGGCTATTCTGGCATTTATTATGACTGAAAAATTGGTGAAATGGAAAACCTATTCTTCACTTCATTTGTCCCAAATAATAAGTGCCACAATGACACAAAATATTATGTGAGTGTTTATATTAAGTGTGCAATGCGCCTCAAACTTAAAGCCGCCACGGCATCTGCCGTTTCTGACAGTCCCTGCGGCGGCCAATTGAACTATCTGAAGAATGTTTGGACTTCCGATTTCTATCCCATTCTGAGAGGGCACCCTGAACGTTGTGGTGACAAATGTAACAGTAAGTAGCCGACACGAGCCCAATGTTTGGGAACCCAGTGACAGCGTTAAGTTTGGGGTGCACTGTGCATGCAAAATATTTTAATAAAAACTGTGTTTTCGTGATTTATTTAGGTGAGTTAATCTTTCCACAATTTTAGTGAAAGCTTCCACCACCTTCAAACACCCCCGTAGTAAATCCTAGCGCGATACGCTAAGAGCTCGACTTATGTGGACCGTCCAAAGTGGGATCGAAGTGTACTTTGCGATGCGTAAGAATGCCTTGCCAGGGCCGTGTCACAGCCCCTAGCCTTTTGCTGCTTTTCAACACAAGATGAAACAAAGTACAGTTGACTCTCATTAATTCAAAATCTTTTAATTCAAACTTTTGGATAATTCAAACTAACGTGCAGGTCCCATCCTATGCATCTCTATGGGAAGAAACTCCTGATAATTCAAACTTTGCTTTATTCAAACAAATTTTCGGCCCCCCTCAAGTTTGAATTAATAAGAGTCGACTGTATAGGATATTTTAATCACACTGTCTCGAAGCATTAAGCTCTGGCCACATTGTCCAATACATAAAATGTGATATTCTTTTTAAAAATGGTGATCTCCAAGTCTACATGATGCTGTGGGGATAACTCTACAACTGGTTTTTTGAAGGCTTTAAACTGTGACTTTTGTTTAGTCGAAGCTAGTGGTCCCCTAAATTTTTTTCTTTTCTTAAAAACTTTGATGACTGATATTGGTGGACATTGTGTCTTATTGCTTAACTCGAAGCTCTTCTCACCTCGGTCATTCTCTTGGCACAGCTGAGCCAGGTGAAAGCAGAGCATCAAGATGAATTGGAGTGCATTCGAATCGACCTTGAAGATGAGGCTAGTGGCCGCACCTGCCTTGACAAGCGATTGACCGAACTCAGGGCTCAGGTAACCCTCATTTGGCTCCCCTCTTTTGTGATCATGGTCAGTGACGGTTAAGAATGCAGTGCATGCTCTGTCACAGGTGTAATGCGCTCGCTTCCAATCCTTTCGTGGTCGAAAGAATAGTGCGTCGCGGTCTCCACGACGGTGACATTAGAAACGTATCAGCTGCGCATCTAGGGAGCAAAGCTCGCCGTTGATCGAGCAGGACAACATCGTCGTGAGGTGTCGAAGGTACCTGCGTTACATTACACAATACGAAAGAGGTTCCAGAATATTTTCTACCTGATGTCGTAGACGATAACAGCAGGACACAAATGTAACTTTTTCCTACTATGCCGCTATCTGTCGCAGCTGTAGGACGAGGCAATCATTGCTTACCTGACTTACCGTGGGTGTGATAGCAACGACGAGACTTGGGAAGGGTGCCATGTTTCACAGATGAATAAATAATGCTTTGAAGGCGTCATTTCAGTAGGCATTCTTTATTTATTAAAGCCAGCAGAGAAGCAGACAGAGACTGGTGAGGCAGCATGATGGTGTTGTCACTTGAGCATCTCACACTGCATACCGTATCAATATTGATGACTGCTGAATTTTCGTCACCTCACAGGAGCCATTGCGAAGAAACGTTCATACCGCAACAGTCTTGTGATGTAACTTTAAATAGGAGTGAGCAGCAAATGAATGAACAAAAGCCCTTGGTGCCAATGAAGCGCATCCACTGTTGTCTTGGTGGTTGCTAGGTCTACTCGCTCGACCAAGCAGGCACATTGAACACTTTGACAGCCACATAACTATTGGATTCTCACGTTGTCACACAGTAACTACCACGGATAAAGCTGGTGCTGGACTTAACAGCGTAAACCCGGGTAGATAAAGAGCAGAAAAATCACTCTGGGAAGCATGGTGCCATTTCGCCAACGGTGCACACTTTCGTTATGATAAAAGATTGTTCATAAAGCTGAAGCGTCGGATACATCAAAGAAATCAGTGGAAGCGGTTGACTGGTTGAGTGATATGAATCACTTTAAGGGGCATTTTCCGCTTCATTCCTAGCCTGTCGTAGACTATATAGATGTTGTGTCTTTTTCACTGAGTCTAGCTTGTTAGTCCGGACTGTATGCAGGTCAGAAATTTATCCCCATGGTATTCTGGTCTATCCATGAGCCCTCTAAAGCTATGTTTAGTGGCCAGTTTGTGCAGTATGTATTGTGAACAATTCATAAATGTTATCTTGGTCTGATCATTTGTAATATCGCCCACTTAGAACTGATCCAACTTTGGGTTGTCACATGATGGATTGCATGGAAGGCACTTTATATAGTTAAAACAAATCATTCTATGTAAGAATGACAGATACTCTATACCTTACGAACCTTGTGCAGTTGCACAAGGCTCATAAATTAACCTTTCACTGCCATACTCATTGCTCAATAATTTTGGTATTCCTTAATGAGGCAACTTTAATGGAGGGCTCAGATTTCTTAACCTCACTACTTGGTGCTTCTAGCTTGTGTTGCCTTGCCTGGTAGTTTCTAACTTTACTTATGATCTTCTACCTTGCTCCATGGCACGTTGGAATGCCACCTGCTTGGCCAGCTGGTGCAGCTCCAGGGAGAGAATGCGGCGGAGTGGGGTCGCCGGGAACGTCTGGAGACAGAGAAGTTGACCCTGGAGAGGGACAACAAGAATCTGCGTGCCTCGTTGCAAGAGCTGCAGGAGTGCCTCCAGCGCAAGGCCCAGCCTGCTGGCCCCACTTCAGACCTCAGGACAGTCCAGGCAGAGCTTCAGCACCGTACCAAGGTGTGACTCCATGCTCCTGCTAACATAACATGCATTAGGCTAACTTGTGATAACTGCATCATCCAACATTCTTTTTCAAGTCGCTTGTTTGTCATCTGCTCACCCTTTTTCTCCTAGGGTGCACTTCTTGTGATAGCTTTCTACTCGTGTGGTTTGCTCCGCATGATTTGATTTCGAGTTTCCGTTTTGCGGGCCTCCACATTGCCACATAGATAGTTGACTAGCTTGAGGAATGCTGATCATGCTCATGATGTCTTGAGACTTTTGTTTCTTGCAGGAATTACTGGACCTGAAGCATGCCCACAGCAAGCTAAAAAAAGTGCTGCAAGAGAAAAGCACCGAACTGTCGCATGCACTGCGGCGCTCTGACCAGTATGAGATGGAGGTGAAGAAGCTGCGAGGGCGCATCGAAGAGCTCAAAAAGGAATTAGCCACTGCAGAAGATGAGGTGGGTGGTTGCCGTTGGCGATTTCTGTAGGCACGATATATTTCATACATGTTGAATATTTTTATGATGGAAAGACTTCTAATTCAGCCACTGGCTTTTGAGCCATTCAAGATCAGAGTGCGCCTGTGTTTAGGGGCCGTTGATGTATGCTTTACACAAGTTTTGCGAGGGCCTAGCCCAGTCGTAGGTGTTGAGGTTCTTGAGAAGTGGTACAAACTGCATCTAAGATTACAATGTTCATCTAAGATTACAAGATTACAATTTTCTGGCAGGTGGACAGTGCTACCAACAACATTCGCAAGCTTCAACGTTGCAATGATGAACTTCAGGAGCAGGTTGAAACGCTGCAAGTTCAGCTAGAGCACCTACAGACAAGGTAGGTGTCCCTTGCATTTCGTGTTTGTTTTCAGATTTTCTCTCCTGGACAGTCTCAATAGCGAGGTTTTTGTGCGTGAAAAGGTTTTTGCTGTTGCAGTGTCTTCTAGATTTGAGATGCAAGTATGCCTGCAATGGTCAAGCAGTGTGTGCTGCATCATCTACTTGCTACTCTTGGGTTGAGGGCTGGCAGCACTTTGCACAAAGAGTGTATTGTCATTCTCGCCAAGACTAGCGACTTTCATGCTTTTCTTGGTGAAAGGGCTAGTACTGTCAGGCGTGAAGTGCTGTCAGATTGTTCCAGAAGTGCCAACTAAACTAAATGGTGTGTGCTTCTTTACCTCTGCCTGCATGACTCTATGTGGTGGGAAGTTTTTACCTAATATATATGTGTTCATTGCAATTGCATGTAACATTGTACAGCATAGCATTTCACTATTATTGACATTTTTTCAATTAGTGCTCCGTCTCTTTAAGCTTCTGCTTTAACTCACTTTTTTTCTTTCAATCTTATTTTCTTTCTTCCTTTCCTCTCTCCTAAAGCCAAGAGAACTTGCTTTCTACGGTTGGTTCGGACACCCTACAGGTAATTGGTGATAGCTTTCTCTTGAACTTGAGGCTTTGCATCTTACCTGAACGTCATGGTGTTACTGGTGTGGCCCTACTACCATATTTACTCGAGTAATAGCCGCACTGAGGGTTCGCTTTTCCACGGAGCATGCGGATTGCCAATCGCCGTGATCGACAGCATGATTCCGGCGGTTCTCCAGGACAGAAATAATGTCTTCGCGCGAAGATGCCATCTGTAAAGAATGCATTTGTATGTAGAATCATGCTCTCGATCTAGTTATTTGCTATGTTATTTTTCCAACGCGATGGTCGGCTGTATACGTGTTCTGCGGGGAAGCAGAGGCAACGGCCTTGTTCATAAATAGTGCTGCTATTACTCAAGTAAATACGGTATATAAAAATGTGCAACTGATCACTGATTACTATACCCATTTTTTGTACTACTCAGGTTCTACTTTGGCAGTAGCCAGAGTGAGATCAAGTAACCAATCAATTGGAGTTGATGCAGTCAATTGATGTTTCTCTGCATCATTATGGTTTCATTCAAAAACTGTCAAGCAGCCAGATTCTGGACACTTGTGTGTCCAGAATCTGGTTGCTCAGAAAGTAATGCCCTACATTTGTTTTCTCCAAAACTCTATTCAAAGTGTATAAAATTCACACGGAGTATCACTTCATGTTTCCTGTACACATGTTATCTTTCAACATAATCTTTACCCATTTCAATGCCAGTGCAGATTGAAGCCTTGTTCCGTGCAGTGCATTCTTCAGTAGTCTGAAAAAATGAAAATCTGATGGTGCCAAATCAAATTGCGGAGTACAGTCCAACCAGATCTGGGAATTGCCTCCTGGTTCTTTGAGACTTGTATGAGGGCAGGCAATGTCCTGCTGGGTCGAAATGTCTCCTTGATTCCTTTTAGGCCGCACACGCTGGTGAACCGTGCTTGAGCTTTTGGAGGGTTTTGATATATATGGTTTGCATTGCTTGTTTCACCCCTGGGCATCCGTTACATTAACCAAAAATCACTCCGTGAACATCCCAAAGGACAGTGATCATGACTTTTCTGGCAGAAGGATTTATTTTGAACGTCTTTGTTCTTGGTGATTGCGGTTGATGCCCTTCCATCACTCCCTTTTCATCTCTGGCTCAAAAGGATAAGCCCAGGCTTTGTCACCTGTGATGCTCAGGAACAAAAAGGCCTCCCTCTCAGCGTTAACAGCACATAAGCAGTTTAGGACAGATGGCTTTCCTTTGTTGTCTGTGCTTCAGCTTCAACAAACCCGTTTTGTTGCTTCCATTCAAATATCTCAGGGCTTCAATAATTTTGTTGCACTGCTTCTGCTAAGTGAAAGCTGTTGGGCCAATTGTCGACTTGTGATGCGCCGATCTGCACCAATAATGCATTAGCGTGTGTCTGGCTGGTGGCGGTGCAAGGGCGCCCCGATTACGGTTGATAATGCAGCTCTTTTCTCTGCTTTCTGAGACGTTAATTCTCTGAACCCAGCGTCCGCTGATGCTCCCATCGATTGCGTAATTTCCATACACAGCACGCAGACGATCGTGAATGTACCGTAGGGTTTCTTTCTCCACCACGAAGAATCAAAATACTGCTTGTTGTTTGTGATGCATGTGAGACACGGACACCATTTTTACAAACTACTATAGCAGCCTCCTCTGGACGACAACTGTAAAAATACACAGATGCATGCAGAAGACATCAAATCAGTGTTGCGTCCTGCAAATTTTTATGCTACCGTAATATCCCGAGAAATTGCCCACTCAAAACTGAGAGCACATTAGGTAAAAATAAGGGGTAGGCTAACATTCGGTGTTCACAAGGTAGTTCAACTTGAGCCATTGAAAAATAGAAAGTCCTGCTACAAATCGGGATGGGCTATCTCTTGGGGATGGGTCGTCTCTCGGGATATTACGGTATGTTTATTTTAGAATGAGAAATCAAAATGTGGGCATTACTTTTTGAGCAACCTTCGTTGTACAAAAAAACTCCAGTCAAAATCCTCAAGGCATGGCAAGATCTCGGGTGTTGTTCCTGTAGCTCACGCCACACGTATTTATTGTAGCCACATGCCTGGATTAGCACCGCTTGCAGCACATGCTGTGCTCCGAACATTCTTAGAGTTTGGTAATTTCAGACACCAAACTAATTGGGCACAAATGCAAACCCCATTATTTGCTGACAAATTGATTGTTACCGAGTATACAAGCCAACTGGTTACACGGTACTTCGTGAGTCACGTTCGGCCACGATGCGTTTGAAGCCCTTTAGACCTCGAAGGTTCACAGTAAAGCCAGAAAGCTTTCTGAAGGAGCGGAAGAAATTAAAACCTAATATTTTATACCAAAAATGATGTTTCTGGCTCCTTGCCATCATGTGCTGGATCCCTAGTGCCCCAGCATGCCGTATAGGGAATTTTAACCCAATTTTCTTTCACTGTCTTTTTAAATGGCTCTCTTAAGACGATGACCTGGCCTTTTGCATATGTCCCAGTGCCTGTTCTGAGGAACTGTTGCACGATTATCAGAGTTTTCCCACTCTTCCTGAATCGTTCTGAGAGGCAGTTGTGCCAATTGAAGAAAGCTATTACCAGCACCAGTGTCTGTGGGCATTGAAATCCAGTACGGGTTCTCATTCGGGTGAACTGTGCTCTCAGGTTGAAGAACAGTGTGCCGCACCAACTGCACAGTCGTCTGAGCAGCCGAGGCGTGCAGGCAGTTGATCTACTCAGCGAAGATGAAGCTGGCGACTACTGACACCCACGGTCACCAATATCTAGTAAAACGTGCCAACACCTTTCTTTGCGCACAGCCGATTTAAGGTGACCTAGGAATGCCTTTCAGGCTATTGTTGTTTCATAGTTTTGTTTAGGGAAGAACTATGATTGCGGGGAAGAAAGGTGCCAGTTTCAAAGCCTGGCTGAGTGGGGATGCCCTGCTACTAAGAAGGGTTAATGACAGATGGCACTCACCGGTTTTGGTGGTTTAACGCTGCCTCAAACATAGAGCTTGGTTTTAAAAAAAGCCTGTAGTATTCCGTGCAAAGTCTGGAAAAAATACCTGTATGTAGTTTCAGATCGATTAAACTGCAACCAAAGTCAAGCCACGTGGACTATGTTAACGGGCTCGTAATGGAGGACGGCAGTCGCAGCTAATCCGAGGGCACTCTGCAATACGCAGAGGGCAGAGCTGGTTTTGAGAATGCAGGGTGACAACCTATACAAGTTGCCGAAAAAAATACTCGTTTCGATAGTTATCAGTAGACTGCAGATTGGTATGCAGTTGCATGTTGTTATTTTTTTTCTTGGCATGTACAGTCAAACCTGATTACAACGAACTCGGGTACAGCGAATTAACCCCTATATAGAATACGCAAATATATTTTATCGGTATGCATGCCAAATATATCTCGCATAATGAACTTCACGATGGATATATAGAATTTCCAGTACTTACGACCACCAGCAGACATGCAAACTCCGGCACTTCCACCGTTCAGCTTCCTTGCAATGCAGATGGAGGTTCCTCGTCTCCCGGCATGAAGCCTCCACTTAGTTACGCTTAGTCAAGCCCTTGCGCTGTAAGGCCCTATCAGGTTTCAGATTTCGTAACAACCACGACGCTTTTCAGCCGATCAACTCCGTTGTTACCGGTGGTTTAGGAACAGGCAGAATTTGGCCACGCACGCAGTCAATGCTCTGCAGACTATCTTGGCATCGTAAACTTTGTTTCCTTAGGCCTCCTGCAACCTACCATTTTGTTCTGCGATCTGGTGCGGTTCACGATGACTACAAAGCAGCGGCATGCTCTTCAGCTCTCGGACAGAGTGGACGTCATTACTGGACAATATGCCAAAACAACACTGGCAAAACGAAGGGAAATCTGGACGGGACGCAACGTAACTTTCAACTGAATGGTTTATTTAGGAAAACTTGCAAATAAAAATAAAAACCAACACATGCTGGCTGAACTCTGTAAGATAAAGTCTAAACGCACCTCCTAGGAAACCACCATCACTGTTTCCGCATATAGTGAAATTCTTTGTCGGACAATAACATCCGCCATGTCGAACGTGGTGAAAAAAATTCTAACATTGTTGCTGCCTTTGACATATCTAGGAGTGTGTTAAACACCCTGTGCGTATAACAAATTGTAAAAATGTGTTGCAAGCGGGTTTTGCTATAACAAATTATTGTGAATATCAAACGAAACCAGGCGTTTTATACAGTTCATTATAAATGGGTTTGACTGTATAGCAACGGGATAAATACAGAAGCATTTTTTTGGGGTACCTAGTACATATATAACTGCTTTTTGGGAGGTAAGGATACTTCACACGGTGCAATTTTTTCTAGAAACTTGTGGACAATGTCATAGAGCAGTGGTTCTCAACCATTGATGTTTTGCGGACTTGTTGTGGATCGGCGAAGATGATGATGGACCCCGTTCGTGGTGAGGGGAAGGGAAAGGTATACATTAATTATGATAATGAGTTAATAAGTGGATATAACTAGGGGCTAATGTGAAGTAGACTTCTCTCGTTGACGTACACACCAGAAAACTCACCCAAAAATTAGAATGTTTCTTCTCAGTCTGAAAAAATACAACTTTTATTGTCAGGCTTAAATGATGAGGCAGGGCTTCGCATACCCCAAAGGGTCTCGGAGCCCCATTTGAGAACCACTGTCATAGAGGCATGACATGCAAGCATCATCCCCTCTTTCTCAGCACAAATGATGATGCCTGTGCAGCATTACACACATTTGTGGAGAATATTGCGCCATGTGAAATGTTCTTTAGGGCATGTCTTCAGCTTAGCAGCATGCACATGTATATTTCTGGTGTTTCAGAGTTATCAATGCGTCTTGAACTGTAACTGGCACTTTCGGGTCATTAATTGGCCACTGGTAAGATTTACCTGCGCAGAGTATTTTCAAGGAGTGAGAACATTGCTGGTAGTACAAATAATGCTGGTGGAAAAGCCCAACATGTTTGACTCAAATACAGATTAAATAGTTTTATCTCAGTTTGAGATGAACATTTGGCAGCACAAGTTCTTCACAAGTGTGGCATTCATTGTTTCTGCTGGGATCATAGCTGCTAGGACTTCTTTGTGGATAATTCATAAGGACAAACTTCCCAGCAGAATGCATCTTTTGTGAATTTAGGCCTTGTTTTGGCTCTGATTTAGTATGTTTCGTGAAATTGCTGCACTACTTAATCATTTGTGCTTCCCTATTTTCAGAAAAATTATCTGCTCAATTTATTTTACATTTTATGTTAAATGAGAAGATCTCCGATGGCTAGCACTAACTTGTACAATGTTAGGGGAGAAGGTGCAGACCAATGTGCATGCTGAAATTTTTTAAGGTTTTCACATATCAGACAATAGGCACTCTTCTCCATTGTGGTTAGTGCCCTACCAATAGAACGAGCGTCACTCCTGGTTTCATATTTTTAGCATTTCCTCCTTCCAACTTGCAATTTTCATTGTTCATTCTCAGTATGCGAGCTGACTGAACAAGCGGGGAAAATTTATATCCCGTCGTATGTTTCTGGGGCCACAGAGGCTAGAATGTGTTCAGCGAGATGGTTTTAATTTGAAGCACTGTACATGGTATGCTGGAGTTGGTATGTCTAAAAGTTAAGTCTGCATATCTTTTAAAGTGGAATTTTTAAAATTATTATTTGTTTTGATATATTACTGTGTCTGCTTACAGCTAACATTGACTAAATATTTAAAGCATAATTTCTGCAAAACTAAAACACAAGTTGTGTAGCACGTGGCCTAAAAGAAAAGCATACCATAAAATACCAAGTAAGTGCCCCCTCACTCAAAGTTTGGAGATAATCTTGGAAGACTGGAGGATGGGTGCTTGTTAGGTCCCAGAGCAAAAAAATGCTGGAGGAGCACATGACAGAATGGGCTTTACCGCTTTGCACCGGAGTAATCAAAGAAGCAGCTGATGTGGGGGAGCATCTTGGATAGCTAGGTGGGATCAGAAGTCTGGGGTGGACGCTCGATATGTCCTTCGCTTAGTTTTCAAATGTTTCAAAGGTAGCAGATGAGCACTCACTGTGATTCTATGGTAAGGCCCTTTTTCCTGTTTAATCTTGGCAGCATTACTACTTTTGAGTTGAGGAGATCGAAGTCTTAAAGGGAAACTGAAGTGGTTTTGTATTTGAGGAAACATTAAATCGTCTTCATTTGACCTTCAGCATCTCGAATATCGAAATTATTTTTTAATTTGGTGCATGGAGGCTGCAGAAAATCGTTTTCAAAGTATCGCTTAGGGCCCTCCTTCCCGGAATGTGACGTCACAAAAGAAGTTTTCGGAATCTCCGCTCTCGCGCGTCGTCAGCGCCTATCAAAGCTATGCATGTGCACTCTTGCTACTATTTTCAAGAAGGGCAGAAAAAGACGTGGCGGCTGGTGCCAGTGGGGGGGAATATACCTGTCAAGCTTGCGATTGCACACGCGGCCCTCAAGCGACACGCGCTTGGCAGCTGAAAGATCCTCTTATGACGTAACAACTGGTCGAAGGTTTTTCGTGTTTTCTCACGTTTAGTTACATCTTCGGGGAAGACAAACATAATATTCAAATTCACAGGATAAAACTACGCTAGAATGTACCTCCATCTCATTTTTTTTTAAAGAAGTGTTTCAGCTTCCTTTTAAGATTCATTCACACTAAAATTTGAATTGCAACCACTGCTGACCGAAATTTCCACTTGCAGTTCTTTGTATTTGCTTCTGGAAGTTTTGTCACAGCATTGGTTGGTAGCCTTGTAGAACTGATAAACTAGACGGCTATGGTAACAAGAATTTTAGCTAGAGGTAGGAGACAGGCAAGTTGGTTGGAAAATGTTGGCATTTAAACCTCTAGACGGATGAAAAAACAAAACTGGACAACGCAAGAGAGAGTCTGTTTTGTTTTGTCCATTCATGTCTTTTTTTCGTCTCGGAGTTTAAAGGATATTGATAAAAAGGGAAAGTTGAAAATCTTGTGGCTTCACTGATTATATTTGTTTTTATTTTGGTGTTTTATAGCATATACCATAATTATTGACATAGCTCCCATTGCATGTGAATGATTTTCGGAATTCTTTTTTTCTGCATGCTTTGAGTGCACATTTTTAGACTTCTGAGCACTGGGATGCATGCGCAGATTAGCTGCCTTTTAGTGCATACAAGTCCGCTGTCTAGTTATCTGCTTCACCCACTCTTAGGTTATGAGCTTTTGTGAGGTACATGTTAGTATAAGTAAATGCCTCTTGTGAGTTTATTGGGTGTTTTAGATCTCTTTGGGATAACAGGGAATACTGTTTCCCTTCATCAAATGAAATTGTGATCAATGAAGTAACAGTGTGATGCATAGGAGACTGGGGGCAGTTGGTGGAAATCTTTGCTTAGGCACTACGCCACCTTGCTTAATACCAGCATTCTTTTTTGTATTTTGGTGCATTAAAACTTAAAAAAAAAAAAAAAACACTAAAGTTTTAGTTATAGTAGAAAGTTTAGCTGGCAGATCTATATGGATGAAGGAGGAAAGGGAAGTTTGATATCTTAAAACCTTGTTTGAATTAAGTTGTTTCTTTACAATAAACTGGCAGCTTTTTTTTTATTACTGCACCCCATTCATTGCCACTTTTAGTCACACATGGAGCATTTTAAGTATACTGAAATTGTACCAGTATTTAATAATGTTTGTGCAAAGTTTTACTCTGTCAAGCAAACTTCAAGGGTACAAAATGTTCGGAAATATTTTTAGGTGTCGATGAATATTACTACTGGGGCATGTTAAAAAAAGATATAAAATTAATATGTTCCAGCATTTCTTGTCAAAGTGGTCTCTTGAAGCTGTTGCTTTCAAATGCCCTGTTTCAAAAAGACACCCAAAAGGATTTTTGAGTTGGAATGGAGCACTAAATTGAGGCCCTCTAAAAAAAATATAACTGCAAAAAAACTGTTTTCACTAAATTAAGTATAGTTAAACTAGCTTGACTCATCATCATTGAAAGAATTAAACCTTTGTTTACCTTGCCATTCATTTTCTGTGTAAGTACCATATTTTCCAGTGTGTAAGTCACACCCCCCAATAAACAACCAGTTTCACAATATTTTTTTTTTTTTTAATTACACTTTTTATATATGTTGCACAAAGTTACGGAGCGCTGCAAAGAATGGCGCGCGGAGGCACTGCGGCCGCAGACCCATGCCCCTACGCCTCGAATTGTCTTTAGACCACCAGGAAAGCAGGCCGTTCTCTTGTTCCTTCTTTGTCGTAAATGTTGATACAATCTACATCTTGCTGTGGTCCATGCTTTTAAAAGAAAAGCATACATGTTGCACCATTATGTAAAACTCACCAATAGAAATTTCGTAAAATAAAAAGTGACTTATACACTGGAAAATACGGTAATTTCTTTATGTGGTACGGTGTGTCCGCAACAAGGTTCCAGTTATTAACTCGGCTCACAAGCAGAACTATATTTAGTTGCAAGCACAAGTTTCTCAGTTTGCACATGTGCCTAATATTTTTATTCATGACAATATATGGTATATGTAAGAACTGTGTAGAATCTTTAGGTCCTGTAGACTTGGTTATATAGTAGTGTTCAGTAGTGAACTGGGAAGTGATACAAATTTATCCTGACAGAAGTTTGTTTCCTTCTTAAAAAAATAGAATAGTGTATAATTTTGGGCTTGTATCATGGCACCATAAATTGTGCATGCCTGGTATTTAAAAAAAATCTCCATTTCGTTTCTGCATGCAGAGGCTTGGGGAATGTGGAGTTGAAACTTCTAAGGTTGACTCAAAAAGTCTTAATAATTGCAAGGTGAGAAAGCAGCATAGTTGGCAGGCCGGTGTTAAAGGGCAACTCCTCTTAATTGCAACAAGTTTTAGATAATGGGTGATTTAACAGTAAAAACTATTAATGAACGGCTCTACGGCATTTATTTACCAAAAAATTAAATATTTTCGTGCAGTCTTGCTTTAGACAGGATCATAGACCGAAATCGATTTCCTTTGGATGTAGCAAGCAACTTCACTCCATGTTAACAATGACATAAGGCACCCACATAATACAAACAGTCACGTGATCTATCACGTGAATGTGCGCAGCACAGAATATGTTCTGCATCGTAGCAGGCTCTGCATCCAGCTGTGTGTGCACCACAGCAGCCTGTGCGCGTGTCCTTCAGGAACAGAGCCAAAGTTTGTAACTAAAACATTATTAGAAAAGATGGGAGATACACTACTTTCTTACACCTGAAACTGGGTGGAGAATTGAGACGTTGGTCTCTGTCATCCTTTCCCTGTTTCTTCTACATTTGTCTTTCAAGTTCCTCCACCCAGTCTCGGGTATTTTAAGAAAATGGTAAACTTACACTAGCTCGCCTGCGTCATTACTGTATGCTCTGTCGGGATTAAACCCTAAAAGGTTGCAGACGTAGCACAAGCAGATCTTTGTCCCGCGAAACAGTGGAAATATAGATAAACTATATGGTGTAGCCAGGGTAGTGCATTCTTTTTCTTTTTGCCACTCTCCTCATTGGTGGAGAAGGGTCGCATGCTCAAAAATTATCCAAGGACAAGCGGACAACAACTAAGCTTGCTACGTAGCATGCGCGTGAGCTTCACAGCTGACCACCGAATTTCCGAGCTTACCGGCGGCGCACTGCCTGTTGTGCGGCCGTGACTATGTTGACCTTGGATCAGAAAGGGGAGACTATTGTGTTCCGCTGCTCTGCAAGCAGAGCATATACGGTTAATTTAAGTTGATTGCTCCATTCTTGCCACCTGTAGGCTTTACCTGTAAAAGGTAAAGCCCACAGATGCCCATACACGACCAAAAATTACGATTTCTTTGACTTGGTGGTTGTGCTGCAGGCCTCCCGCTAAATTTCGGTAAACATTTAGACAGAATTCAATCGTAATATTTTCTTTTCTTTATGGGCTCCCTGGATGATACTAAAGAAAACTGCATTGTTTTCTCAATAAGAAAACTCAAGTGAAGTTG